AGGATTCACCTTTACCTCTGCCCGGAGGTTGTGATCATGGGCAATTCTGAATCACTCAAGGACAATATCTGAGGTTCAGATATTGAACTACATAAAGTAGTCCCCAGAGGCCTGTTAACTTGTATTCATGGGTGTAGCCTTTTAGGGTCTGAACTCAAAAGGCATAGCTTCATCTGGGTCTCTTCTACTCTGCCCAGGCAGGCCCTGGGCTCCAATCCTTCTGCACATAGCCCTGGGAACCTCAGCTCTGCATTTGTTACCCTCTCTTGGATCAGTAGATGCTCCCAGAGTGAACTATAAAAGTCACTTTCCTGGGCCTCCATCCTTGCTTGAGTTCTGACCTGGTAATTTTTCACTATTTTATAGTTCTCACAAACCTTCAAGTAGATGTGTTTAATGGTTTTGCCCAGATTTTCTACTTCATTGTAAGAACTGGTCTAAATTTTCTAGTCTATCACTGGAGTGGAAGTTCTCTCAGTTTTGTTCTTAGCTCAGTATAACTGGTAGTCAGATCTAGTGAAGACCTCTTTACTACAGAGCTCAGACTTTGGTCTCTGGGTTATTCAGAGCTAAGCAACCATTATCACTAGCATTGCACCATGCAGGTTGTGGACACTGAGTTGCCAGCTAATAAGTCTTACTCCCTATCCTCATGGAGCCTGCAATCTTCCCTTCACCCGCTAAAATCTCAAGCCTTTATGGACCAATGTGCTCATTCAGTATCATCTCAGTCCTTCTCAGCTAGTCTCTTGAATTGCTAAGGCCATGATATCAACTGTCTTTCTCCTGAAATCCTTCTTACTGCCCATGAGTAAAGATATCTTAGCCCGACAAACTCATTGGCTCTGACCACCTCTCTAGCCTCATGACCTTTAAATCATTTACTATAAACTCTACCCCAGTCTCTGGAGCCTGTTGTTCTGACACATACTGTTTATCCAGCACAACTCAGACCATCTCCTCTGGGAAGTCCTCCCTGACTCCTCTAGACAGTGTCAGTCTCTGCTTTTCTGTCTGTTTCTCCATTAGGACAGGCACGTTCAAGAAAATGACAGTCTGGCTCATTTTAGCATCTCAGCACTTGGTACTTAAGAGCTTAGGATGAATGTAGGATGATCTCATTTCCCAAGTTCCACATATCCACTAATGCATTTTTTTAAACTTTTTTTCCCCCTAGTCTTCTGAATTCCTGGAACTTCATTCTTCTAACCCTTAATGCTAGGCCTGGAAATTGCTTAGTCATTTGCATCCCCCAGGCAGTAATCAAGTGTCCTCATTGCTAGCAAGAGATCACAATCCCACGTGACACTGTGACTGTGTCTGCCCCCTGCTGGTCACCAGCTTTCTCAGACAGAAAACATGGAGGGCTACGATCAGTAGGGGCTCTTAGTTGATTTTTGTATTCCATGAAGAATATAAACCCTTTTTCAGAAGAATATTTTCAAATGCATAGTAAGAAGCATGTGGATTATAAATGAAACCATCATACTGAGGGCAGGGGATTTAGCTCAGCAGCAAGGTGCCTGCCTGGCAAGCAGGAGGTTGTGAGTTCGATTCCCAGTACCAAGAAAAATTTAAATAAATAAATAAATAAAACCAGTCATAATGAAAAACAGGTATCAAAATATTGGAAAAGTTTTATATGTGACACATAAATAAGATCCAGTGATGTACATCTACTAACCACTAGAAGGGCCTTGCCATTCCCATTCCACACACCCTGCCATCACATCTCCTGAGTAGTTGCCCTCAAGCAGGAGGAAGGAGGAGGAGGAGGAGAAGGAGAGTGCATAGCTGAGGAAAGGGTTAAGAACTTTCCTCCTGTCAAGGAGTGTATTGGTGAAGTCCTGCATGAGGCTGAGGGCCACACGGTGATGTGTGAGACACACCGGTAAAGTACACACAGGGAAGCTCACTGAAGCGGAGGACAACATGAATTGTCAGATGTTCGACATCACAGTCACATACAGAGATGGCTGAGTGGCACAGCTGGACCAGGTGTACATTAGTGGCATCAAGGTCTGCCTTCTGATTCTGCCTGACAGTCTCAAAAATGTGTCCATGTTAAAGAGCATGAAAAATAAAAACCAAGGCTCAGGGGCCGGCTGAGGAAAAGGTATTGTTCTGAAGGTCCAAGTGGCTGCAAGAGGAAGAGTTCATAGAATGGGGCATGGGAACATTTTCCGGAAGCAAAACTAATTTTCTCTGTTGGACGGAACTGTTCCTTACTTTTTTTGAGCTGAGTTCATGGGGGTTGGGCACTTGTGTGTACGTCTTGTTTTCTTTTGACATCTTTCTCTTTATTGTTTGTTCTTTTTTGTGTTTTTTTTTGTTTGTTTGTTTGTTTGTTTGTTTTTTCCAGCATCAGGAACCGAACTCACGCTTGCCAGGCAGGCGCTGTGCCGCTGAGCTAAATCCCCAGCCCCTTATTGTTTGTTCGTGAGACAGGGTCTCACTATGTAGTTAGTGCAGGCTGGCCTTGAACTCACTTATGTAGCCCAAGCTGGCCTCAAACTCACACCGACCCTCCTGCCTCAGCCTCCTGAGGGCTGGGATTACAGGCGTGCACCACCATGTCCCACTTGACATCTTTCTCTTTAGATCAGAAGAAATGTCAAGCTAGATAAATCTCGTTGTTTTGGTTTTTTGAGAAAAATACTATAACTTTGTAGTGGATCAATATGATAGCTTGAGATATCTGCAACCACCGAGATGTGATATGAAATATCTGTGATTCCTGCTGGCAAGAGTCAGGGGCAGTGTTACCACTGGGGCTTGTTGGCCACATCCTTAAGGAAAGGACACGCTGACTCTCATTTCAAGGTCAGAAAAACTAAAGACCACAACTTTTGTCAATCAAGTACAAAGACGCCATGGACCCCAGGTTAAGAACCTCTGAATGGTATTTGAGAGGCATGACAAATTTTTTTTTTTGTCTTTTTGAGACAGGGTCTCATTAAGCAGTTCAGGTTGGCCCTAAGCTCTCTTTGTAGCCCAGGCTGGTCTCGAACTCACAACGATCCTCCTGCCTCAGCCTCCCCAGTGCTGGGATCATGGGCATATGCCACCACCCTCTGCTTAGACAAATCCTTTTAAATATGGCAGAGATAGCAAGCAGTTAGGTGTTTGTGTGGTCCTTAAGTAGTTGAATGGGCAGCTGGGGGAGAGGGATGTGGTGTAGACAGAAATGGCAGGAAGCCTGTTTGAACTGCACAGACGCCACTTGCAGTATTGTGAGATTTGGCGTGACTATGGCCTCGGCCCGTTTTTTCATCTGTAAGTGAGAATGCAGACATTTTCCTCCCAAGTTGTTGACAGGATTCAATCAGATTCACTTTATTAAGTGCAAGAATTCTTAGAGGTCAGAGTATGTTTGTTGTCAAATGAGAAAGAGAGGCTATTAAATGTCTGTAGGGCACAAGCTCCCCCTACACTACATGTTAGCTTTCTCTCTCTGTCCTTCTTCTGCCCACACCCTCTGTAAAGCAGAACTTCGTTCAGCACAGAAGCCCAAAGTCTGAGCTGAAAGCCACCTGTACTCAGAGGAAACCCTCACCCGATGGGCAAACATACAAATGCCCCTTGCTTCCCACCCCGATCCAAAAGAACCACTTCACGCGCAAATTGCTTTGTTATTTTATTAGAAGCATATTTACATTTTTGCAGTGAACTCTGCAGAGAACATTTTACAAAAGTTTTATGTAAAGTTTGGAAACTACATAAAAATAACTTCTATCCTTCAGAAAGAGAAAATATAAGTTAGTTATATTTACTCTGCTAACAATGAACTGGAAAGGAGAAACCTTTCCGTCTGTCCATGACATGGAAAATGTTAGCACAGGGCACGAGGAATACTGTGTGGGCCTTCTCAGTGCTGGGCACAGCACATCAGCTCAACTGAGGCTGGGAAACCCGGCCAGACCCCATCCAAAGAGGCCCAGGGCAGGTATCAGGGCTCAGGTGGCCTGAGCAGGAAGGGAGCAACTCTGGGAAGGGCCACACAATATGAGTGACAAACCAAACAAGGGAACAATCAAAGACTTTCTCCTGAACCGTGAAACTGGCATTTCACCTGATACTCATGCTCACCCCGCAGGCTGCAAAAGGAAATGTTGTAAACAAGGTCCTGAGGGTCCACCCACGCGGCCTTGCCTGGGCTCATTGGGCGTGTATACTGCAGTTACACTACTGCCAGTTTGTTTCCCCTGGCACCTGTGCCCCAGAGAGAAAAGAAAGAGACAACTGTTTAGCTTGTGTCATTGGCGTGAAACCTGAAACCATCCCACCTGGGTCAAACACTGAAGCAGGCATGCTAAATGCTCACTGAGCTAAGAGCGCCACTGCCTTTCCCTGGTGCTGAGAGCTTCTTTACCGCAGTTTTTAAGATTTGCAAGCCCCAAGTCCCCTCTCCTTGTTTGATGGCTGCCCCACCCTTCCCAAGTATCCAGTTATAACCAGGTGAGAAATCTTCCAGAATATTGCTGAAGGAGGACAAAGTACTAAACCCTAACTTTTAGGAGTAGGGAAGGACAAAGTCCTCCTGGGTGTTTCTGCCATCTATCACCAGCAAAACAGTACCCAAAGTCAGGCTGGGAGGCCGAAGCAAAAGGATCCCAAATTCAAGCCCCAGCCTGGGCAACTTAAGTGGTAGCTGTCTCAAAATAAAAAAGGGCTAGAGATATACCTCAGCATGAAGGTCCTGGGTTTAATTCCCAGTACCACAAACAAAACCCAAGGGAAAAAAAACCAAAACAGTGACTAGACTCAGTAATGCCCATCAGTAGCAGCACTGTAGATTCTTTTAAGTAGATAGCCACACACACACCCCATGTATATAAATTTTGGTGAGACAGGGCCTCACTTTGTAGTCCAGGCTGGACTCAAACTCACGATCCTCCTGACTCAGCTTCCTGAGTGCTGGGATGACAGGCATGCACTCCCATATCCAGCTAGAAAGCATACATTGGATATTTACTTTCATGAACAGTTGGAAATCAAGGTGAAGCTGGTTGCAGCACTTGCTTTATTGGGTTACACACTCTGCAGCCTTAGGGTCAGTGTCCTGGGAGGCTGGCTGAGGAAGACAAGGCCCTGGAGTCCACTGGGTCAAGAAGCTTTGCTTCAGCCGGGCTCCCGGGGGCACGAAGCGTCCTGTGCCACACACCACCCCCATGCCTTTTTTCCAGAAGAGGCCAAGGGCCTGCCAGGCTTGGTCTGAGCTGTAAGGTGCAACTCCTGAACAGAGTACAAGGCCAAGGGGAAGGTCCTTCCCATCGTGCCTGCAGACTGGGTGGGCTGCAAGGAGTTTATCCCCAAATGCCCCATCCTGTGTGGGGGCACAGGCGACGCAGCCTGTGCCTTCCCTGGGTCTCTGTGCCAACACTCAGCATTTTGCTCACCAACTGCTCTACCTAACATGCAGCTCAGTTCACAGGCAAGCCTCACCGTGCCAGGGGGTGGGTGTGTGTGAACACACAGGGAGGGGAACGGGAGACGGCCTGAAATACAAGTACAGCAGAGCAAACACTTCAGGCTCCTTGTTTGTCTCCTCCCCCACATGCACACAGCCTTGGCTTAAGCAGGAAGCAAACTGGGGGACCAGGGGGACAAGGACATCCCCTGAGCAGCTGGCTGCCAGCCTGCCTCTGCTGGAACTGAAGTGCTGCTAAGCTTCCTGTCTGACACTGCAAGGCACTGCTAGAAAACCAAGCATCACAATAAGGCAGAGCGCACGGTGACTTCATCAGCAATGCTTTGTGCCTACCGACAGCAAAACTGGTGTTTTGGCAAACAAGAGGGCCCTCGAGACCGCAGCATGGCCAGTCCCGGCCCCTGACCCCACTGAGAGCCCCGGTCACGTGCAGCTTGACGGGATGTGGTGCTCAGTGAGGACACATTAGGGGAAGGTGCCACATAAGTAACTTCGCCCTCCACGAGCAAGCGAGAAGTCAGAAGCACCGGGCAGCCTGTGGTGCACATCGGGTGGCAGCGGGCAGGGGGCTGCATTCACACTGGCACAGAGCGAGGGGAGGAGGATCCGGAGTCACTTGTTCACAGAGGACGGCAGGGCCCTGCGGCCCGCTGCCCTGCCTGCCCCCTCGGGGCGAGGGTGTTACAAAGCGTCTGCAGAGCTGTAGGGGAAGAACTTGGTCGCCTTGCTTGGCGTGGTAGGGACGGAGCACTCCGCCTCCTCACTCAGTTTGAAGAACATTTCCTGCTCCCGCTTTTTCTGGTTCAAATCCTCTTCCAGAGCCTGGGGAGAGACAGGGCAGATGGCGCTCAGTAGGGGCCCACAGGCCACACGCCGGCCTCCCAGCTGCAGGACCCCTCCAGGAAGGCCATCTTGAGAGCTCCCTCCCAGAAGCTAACTACCACCACCCCTTCCTCCGGAGCATCTCCAGGCCTCCAAGAGATGCCAGTGGCGACGGGGTGGGCAAGCAGAGGCAGAGTCTCTGGCAGGAGACCCGGCGGGCGAAGTTGGGAGAGCTTTAACAGTGGGGCGCAGAGACGTCAGGGTGCACAGTGTTTTACACCACTACCCCGACATCACCAAGGGAGCTTTTTCACCACACATGTGCCACTGCTCTACTCTCTGAAGGCTGAGTTCTAATGATGTGTGTGGTAGGACTGCAGTTCTATGTAGTATGATTCTTTTCTCTCCCAGTACTAGGGATTGAACCCAGGACTACTGCACTGAGCTACATCCAGCCCTTTTTAAAATTCTGAGACAGGCTCTCACTAAGTTGGCAGGGCTGAGTTTGAACTTGCTATTCTCCTGCCTCAGCCCCCACCCCAGAGTGCAGGGATTACGGGTGTGCACTACCATGCCCAGTGTTTTGTTTTACTTTTAATGCGTTTCTTACCATGTTGCCCAGGTTACCTGGAATTACTAGCCTCAAGTGATCCTCCTGCCTCAGCCTCCTGAATAGCTGGGACTAACGGCACACTCCACACACCGAAATCAGAGATTAAGAAGGATTTCGTAGGAGTTCTCCAATTATAAGTATTCAATTCGTTAAGCAAGCAAAGTGTAAGGGAAAGAAGGCGGGTTTGACAGGCAGTGCTGCCAGAACTCCTGGACTTTCAAACAAAACTGGAAATCCAGATTTCTGTGTAAAATCTTACACTCACAGGCTGGCAACTTAAGAAATGTTGGACAAATGTAATAAACCATTTCTGCCCATAGTTTGTGACCCTCACTCTAGGAATACTAATTTTTTTTTATCTTTTTAGTGGCTGGGAATTGAGCACGGGGCCTTGTTTATGCCAGGCCAGTGCTCTACCACTGAGCTACAGCCCCTGTCTGAAATAGTAATAATAATAGCTACTACTTGTGGAGTACAGAGTGGTTTATAATTTGCCCAAGACTTCACAGCTAGTACAGGCTGAGTGTCCCTCCTCCAAAAATACAAAATCCTAAATGTTCCAGAATCTGAAACTTTTTGAGCACCGGTCTGATGCTATGAGTAGAAAAATCCACACCTGACCTCATGTAAAGGGTTGCAGTCAAATGGCAGTGAAATAAATCAGACTCACATATGTAAACATCCTATTGTCTCCCTCGTATAAGAAACTGAAAGAGTAAATAAGATCTAAAAGGTACAACAGATATAGTGAAAGGGAAAGAAACTGCTCAGAAGGAAAAAACAACTGGGATGAGGGGAAAGGAGAAAAGAAGGAAGGAAAAGGAAGATATGTATGTGTATATATAAGATAGGTAAGATACTTGTACTACTAATTTCTATTAGTTCATTGAAAAGAACAGTTAGTGCTTATACTGTTTGATTAATCTTGCATGCCTGTATCTTGTAATCTGAGCCATTACTTTGAAGATAATGATATGCAATACAACAACTATTGTTAATTTCCTATCGTCTTGTTTTGAAATCCTGTCGCGTTTTTATTGTCTTTTGTCTCTTTAAAATAAAAATGAAAAATTCCTCCATCAGTTAAAAAAAGGCAGGTGTCTTGAAAACACCGTATAAAATTACCTTCAGGCAGTGTGTACAAGGTAGATGGGAAACACATGAGTTCTGTGTTTGGCCTTGGGTCCCTTCTCCAATACATCTCCTTTCGTATATACAAATATCCAAACTCTGAGACAGTCCAAACCACTTCTGGCCCCAGGAATTCCAAATAAGGGTTACTCAACATGTAACAGGAAAGTGAGGACTCTATCCACACATCTGACTCCAAGGCCTGCCCTCTTAAATATTACTTTCTTCTGCCCCCACTGTGTAACCTTCGAAGGTCAGCGCCAACAAGCTTTTTCCTGTTATGCCAGATGGTAAACACTTCTGGCTTTGCAGGCCAAAAAGACTCCATTGCAGCTAACTCAACTATTCCTGCGGCACAGAATCAACCAGGGATCCAATGTAAATGAAGGCACATGGCTGTGTCCAATAAAACTGTTTATAAATACAGGGCAAGGCCAGATTTGCCCCATAGGCAGGCCTGTGCTAACACCTGCTTTCAGGGAAGAAACAGCTACATTTGCAGCCCAAACAGCCAAAGCTCAGAAGGGAAGATGGGACTCCTGAGAGGTTTTATTCTGTGTTAGTGAAAACCCAAGTAACACTGCGTCGGCCCTACCAGGCATTCTGTACTGACTTGAAAGAAATAAACCTGTATTTTTGTTGTTGTTGTTGTTTGAGACAGGGTCTCACTATGTAGCCTAGGCTGGCCTCGAACTCAGGGTGATCCTCCTGCCTCAGCCTCCCAAGTGCTGGGATTACAAGTGTGCACCACCAGCCTGGCAATCTGGATTTTTCTAAAGATACTCCACAATGTACAATCACTTCCCTTCTGTAAAAGGGAGGGAGCTCAAGGCAGCTGACTAGCATGCAAGAGTGTAAGACACCATTTATTCCAGAATGAGGCAGTGTTCCAACACCAACTGAGGTAGCGAATGACAGAAGAATTGAACATAGAATTCTGCAAAGCAGCAGCCCCCACAGGCAAAATCCAATGACACTTTCCCAATCACATACGCGCTCCTCCTGAGCCCAGGCCCCCAGGAGACAACCTGACATGTAAGGCAGCTGCTAGGGGAAATGCCCCAGCTAAGACGACCAGGCAACGTTTGTTTCCTGATGCCAGTCTTCCTACGTCAGCAGGAATATCATTGATTTGAGTGTCAAGTATTAGACATCCCAGCAAGCCACGGTTACAGAAACTCGCGAGTGCAGGCCAGCTAACAGGAAGGTCTGGGGCCCTGACCGGCTTCCAGCCAGAAAGCTCCATCAGCACTGAGAGGAAGTCTCGACTCAAGGACTTCCAAGGCCATTACAGAGCTGAGGTGGGCAGCTGCCTTCTGTCCAGATCACAGGTGCAGCAAGCAGAACGACGGCTGAGTGTGGGAAATGAGATCAAGGGTAACTGGGGCAATTCCCCTTGGAGAGCTTAGGAAGTAAGTGTATCTTTCACTATACCAAGGGCTGGTGACTTTTTGCGTAACACTGTGTAATACTGATATCTGTAAAGACCACACAGATCCTGTGACAATTAATCTTTTTTTGCTGTACTAGAGAGTGAACCCGTAAAGCTTTCACACTGAGCTACATCCCCAGCCCTTTATATATACATACGTACATAATAAACACACACACACACATACACACACACTTCTTTTTTTTGGAGAAAGGTTCTTGCTAAGTTGCCCAGGTGGGGCTCAAACTTGTGGTCCTCCTGTCTCAGCCTCCCAGAATGCCAGGATTATAGGTGTGTGCCACCCCACCAAGCTAGTGATGATTAATCTTGTGTGACACTTGGCGAGGCTATGGTACCCAGACGTTTGGGCAAACACCAGTCCAGATGTCACCATGAGGATTCTTTTTATGTAGTTCAGTGCTGAAGCACTCCTCTAGTGTGCACAAGGCCTACGCACCATCCCAGCACCAAAACAAGGGTATTTTTTTTTTTAGATATGATTAATATTTAAATCAGGGATGGGGCTGGGGATTTAGCTCAGTGGCACAGCGCCTGCCTAGCAAGCGGAAGGTCATGAGTTTAATTCCTGGTACCTGAAGAAAAACAAAAACAAAAAAAAAACCAAAGCAAACAGAAAAAATAAGCTAGGGATATTGCTCAGCAATAAAGAGTCTGAGTCCCCAGGTCCCTCTGAGAAAAAAGGAATTCTGCCTCCAGGCTGCAACATCAGCTCTTCCCAAGGTCTCCAGCAGAGGTCCTGCCCTGCAGCTTTCAGACTTACCAGCTGCCACAATTATGTGAGCCAATTCCTTAAATAAATCACTTTGCCCTAACACCCCAACGTTCGTGACCAGCAAGAACTTCTAGAAAGTGCTATGGAGACAAGGGATGTGTGAATTCTCAGCATCTCCCTGACACAATCTCAGTTCAAGCTCCCATCAGTTCCCAGCAAGATTATCCTAGCTCCTGGTCTTTCTGCTTTCACCTTGACCTCCGGCAGCAGCCAGAGGGGCCCTTTGCAAAACCTGAGTCAGAGCGTGTCCCTCTGCACTCAGAGCCCTCCAGGGGTGCTCCTCTCAGACAGAGTAAAAGCCAGGCTTTACCCAGGCCCCCACTCGCCCCCATCTCTACCTCTCGCCACCTCCCACCGTCACAGCCACGCTGCTCCAGCCTCCGTGTTCCTCTGCCATGGCAGGAGCACTCTGGCCTCCAGTCCTCTGCACTTGCTCTTTTTCTTCCCTGTGCTGAGAATGCTTCCCCCAAGGATCCAATGGCTCGCTCTCTCTTGTCCTCCAGAACGTCCCGCAGGCACCACATCCCTCTATGCGGCCTTCCTGCCAACCATGTGGAGCAGCCCCCTTTGCTACCCCAGTCCTGTTCCCTTCCCTGCTTCCTTTGCCCTTCACTAGGTCAGCTCCCTAGGAGGACGTGTCTGTTTCGATCAAGGCAGGATCTCCAGTGCCTACGACGGTGTGGGGCACAAGGGAATGAACGAATGGACGATGACCAAACTAAGGACAGCAGACAACGGCAACACCACAAAGTACCACGACAGGATGCAGACAGGGAGCTGTGGAGCCCCGAAGAGTCAGCCAGCCAGCCTGTGTGGAAGATGCTGGATACTGTAGCTGGCCACGCAAAGGCTGATGGGTATAGAATTCCTGACCAAAGGGAACAGCCTGGGCAAAAGCCCAGCAGGGAAGGAGGGCAGCACAGATGGTATGCACAGCTGAGTTCCAAAATCTGCTCACAGCACAAGCATGGGGCAAGGTCGCAGGAGATGAAACAAGAGCAGTGGTTCTCAAAGTGTGGTCCTCCGCCCTCTAGGGAACCCTGACAAAGTAGTTCTGACACTTGCCTAAGATTAAGACATAACTTACCCCCTTCGCTGTAGAGAGTTGAGTCAATGGTATAAAATCAATGATGGCTAAAACTTCTGGAGCCCCAGGAGGAATTAAGACAATGGCACTGAACTGGGTAAGGGTTCCTCACCAGGATCCACTCCCATAGTGTAACAATGAAAATTTAAAAAGGTAATTTTCAGCCACGTGTGGTAGCACACACTTGTAATCCCAGCACTTGGGAAGTTAAGGCAGGAAGACTGACATGAGTTTGAGGACAGCCTGGGCTACATAATGAGTTCAAGGCCAGCCTGAATACATAGTGAGACTTTAATCTCAAAAAAACAAAAACAAAAACAAAACAGATCAGCTTATGAAGCAACACAAATGACTGGTTTTGAGATCTTGACCGTGAAGGCCACACCTCTACTATTCTGCACAATGCAATGGGAAATGTACGTCACGCGCATTTCTGCTGCCTGTCGAAGTACAGCGGCTGCCTAGAGGTGTCCTGGGGCAAGCATGAGTGATCAGCTGAACTAACTGCTTTTATCTGGGACGTCACTTTTATTTTTAAAATGACTGTAAGTATTTGCAAACATTTCCTCAAAAAAGAACAAAATGACCAAATCACGCCAAGGAAAACAACAATGACAAAAGTTGAGTAAGTGAGCAAAAATGAGAATCTTGGAAAACCTGTGTCCACCGCGCTGAGTCTGAGAGCTTTTCAGCATCAGAGGATTTTTCTGATGAGATCAGGGGTGCTATTAGTGGATACTTTGTGTGGGTGTGATGGTACCCTGGTCACTCTCCCATTGAGCTACTTCCCTAGACCTTTTTGATTTTATTTTGAGAAAAGGTCTCACTAAGTTGCTCAGGGTGGCATCAAACTTGCGATTATCTTACCTCAGTTTCCTGAGTAGCTGGGAGTGCAGGCATGTGCCGCCACACCTGGTGATACAATACTTTTTGTGTAAGCCTATGGCCTTCACACTGGGCTATATTCCCAGCCTTTTTTGTTTTTTTATTTTAAGCCAGAGTCTCACTAAGTCACTAAATTGCCCAGGCTGGGCTCGAACTTGTGATCTTCCTGCCTCAGCCTCTCGTAATTCTGGGGTTACAGGCCTGCACCACTGCACCCAGCTTATACAATATTTTAATATCACATAATATAATGTGTCAATATTTGGAAGATCTGAGTTAACTCCATGAAGCAGTATCTTCCAAATGACCCATGGCAAGATCCTGGACAGGGAAAATTCCACCTAAAGTACCAGACAGAACAGTGGGTTTTAACAACAAATGACAGAAAGTCCACTGATGTGTGGATGCAGTGGATTCATCTACAATTAGCCTTGTAGACACAGCCACGGCGCTGGGCTTGTGGCTCCGTGTTAGAACACTTGCCTTGCATATGGGAGCCTCTCAGTTCCATTCCTAGCACAGACAGAGAAAGCAAGAGAAAGGGGTGGAGGGGCAGAGAGGGAGGGAGGGGGAGAGGCTACCGTTTGTTGCCTTCTGGTGTATTATCAAAGGATACACATAATTATCGTCCTGTTTTTTTGAGACACGGTTTCATTATGTAGTTCAGGATGGTCTTAAACTCACTATGCAGCCCAGACTGGCCTTGAACTCAGTGACCCTCCTGCCTCAGCTTCCCAAGGGATAGGATTACAGGATATCTGAAAAGGCTACTGAAATACTCTTTCCTTTTCCTAATATATATCTGTGGGAAGCCAGATTTTCTTCATAAACATGAACTGAGATAACATATCACAACAGATCACATGCCAAAAGAGGTAAGAATTCAGAAATCTTCTTTGAAACATCAAGTAGATTTGCTAAATGTAAAAGTGCCAATCTCATTAATTTAGTTTGAGAGTCTACGGCCACACCACCCTGAATGCGCCTGATCTCGTCTGAAAAAGGTAATCATTGTTCACCAATACGTTATTTGTACAAACATGTAATGAGTATTTTGTTATTTGTAAGGGATTGATGAATGTTTTTTAAATTCTCAGCTAAATTTTCTAAAATGGTAACAAATCTCCATAAACGTAACCCAACACTCTTTGGGGGCCTGGGTAACTTTTAAAGTATAGGCAGATCTTGAAACCAGAAAGCTTGAGAACCCCTGGGCTACAGCGCACACGGTCCATGTCAGATGGCAGTGGGGAAAGGTGGGTGGGGGAGGGGCATCAAGGGTCAGTGTCATCAGGAGCTCAGTTAGAGGGCAGTTTGGGTAAATGATGTGGGCCGCAACGAGGCCTCATTGGGAGAAAGGGCAACATGGAGGCGGGTGAAGGGAGAGAGCTAAGCGACTGACAGGACATAGCAAGAAGGCAAGGAAGGACAGAAGAGGATATCACTCAGGTTGGATGCCTGGGCGTCCAGGAAAATGGAGATGGCATTCACCAAGGAGCAAAAACACAAGAGGGACCAGACCTGGTGGCACACACTTGTAATCCAAGCACTTGGGAGGCTGAGGCAGGAGGACTGCTGCAAGTTAGAGGCCAGCCTTCACTACACGGTGAGCTCAAGGCCTGCCTAAATTACAGAGACTCTGTCTTTAAAAATAAATGAACAAACAAAACACAGGAGTAGAACAGACTTGTGGCAGAGGTGATAAGCTGTGTCTGGGACATGACACTGGGGCAGGTGGGACCTGTGTTGGGTGGAGGAGTCCAGGAGAGCACCAGAACGCGCCGGGCAGGAGGGCAGTCTGAGTGGCTGGTGGAGATTTGGGGGCATGGCTGTCAGGGTGTGGATGGGGCTGTGGAAGGAGTAGCTCAGGCAGAGAGAAAGTCTGGACCACACAGAAGGCTGAGAACAGACTCGGTCAGATGTCACTGGTCCAGGAAGCTGCAGGGGGCCTGGCAGCAGGGAAGAAGCCAGTGGGGGGAAGGGGGGGCAGCGCAGCAGGAGGACAGACAGGGCAGGGAGGGGCTGCTGGCTGCCACCCAGAGGTCAAGTCAAGTAAGTCCGCCCCACGGCTCAGCTGCTGGGGGTTTTGTTACTGACCTTGCCAGGAGCAGCTACAGTGGACTGAGAACTGAATGTGAGGGAAAGAAACTGGGATGGGGAAGGTGAGCTGCTCCAAGGAGAAAAGCCACAATACAGAATGGTGCAAGCGCTGCTCGCATGCTCCAAGCCCGGGTTTAATCCCCAGGAAGGAGGTGGGCGTGTTTGCTAGTGTGGAAGTCTGTGAGGCAGAATTCTACGGAATGACCCTGGGGAACTGCTCCTGTCCTCTCCCAGCTCGTCTGCACACAGGTGGAACCTGTCACTGTGATCCTGCGCGCTGCAAGGCAGGAGGCCGCCCGCCCGCCTCCTCGCCTCCCAGGGCCTTTTACAAGCTTCTTCCCACTGGTAGCAGAGGATGACGGAGAGACTGAAAGCATGAGAAGACCTCGAGACCCCTGTGCTGTGTGGCGACAGGGGGGCCACGTGGAAGGAATGTGGGTGGCTCTAGGGCAGAGAGGGGCTCTGGCTGACAGCCAGCAAGCATCTGGGTTCTGTCAGATCCTGAATGAGCGTGGAGGCGGTTCCTTCCCAGAGGCACCAGGTGAGAGCCCAACCTGGCGGCTCCCTGACTGCAGCCTCATGAGAGCCGAGCAGAGGACGCAGAGGACAGTGGGAGCCCGCCCAGACTTCCGAGCTTTGTCTCTATCGTATCTCACTACGAGGAGATAATAAGGGGGTGTTGGCTTACGCTGGTGTGTGTGTGTGTGTGTGTGTGTGTTTTGTTCCCTGTTTTTTGTCTTTTTGAGACAGGGTCTCACTAGGCCTTTCAGACTGGTCTTGAACTCACTCTGTAGCCCAGGCTGGCCTCGAACTCACAAACATGAGTGCTGGGATTACAGGCGTGCGGCACCACACCCGGCCTTGTTTGGTTTTAGTTTGTGTGATGTTGGGGACTGAACACAGAGCATGCACACGCTAGGCAAGCACTCTCCACTGAGCCACAGCCTAGCGCAGTGTGTGGCAATTTCTTACATGCAACGGAGAACTAATTTGGAAAGGGATCTCTCTGGTGCTGGGTTCTGACCTCGCAGAATAACTTCCTCTAAGAGAAAAGCCCCTGCTGGCCTGGCAAGGTGGCTGATTCCCATGCATTGCAGGTCCCCGTGCCTACAAGGGGGCACCCCCGAGTCTGTGAGGATGAGCTGAACAAAGGCGGTGGGCAAGGCAGCAAAGAGGTTCACTGCCGAAGGTGGAGCCGCAGTGTTCGGCTGCCACTGGTGACATGGGTGGAGGCCACAAACAAGGATCCACCAAAATCAGGGAACCTAAGGTGTCCTAGGCAGACACACGCGGCACAGCTGGAGCAGAGCCCACCACCACGTCCCCAGGGCCATGTGGCTACCTTCTTTCGTGGCCGAAGCTTGTCCCGCCACTCCTTCAGGTTCTGGTTGTGGCTCTCGTCCAGGGCCTTCAGCTTCTGGGCTTCGTGCTCGACCAAGAGGTGACACTTTTCATTCTGGAACAAATTCCAGGCAGAACGGGCATGAAAATCGGCAGCAGCGCTGAGAACACACATACTGTAGCCCCAAGGCCACTGCCATTGTGAATGTGGGTGGGCGTGAGACTCTTCCTTGCTTATAACCCCAGTTACACACAACTCTGCACATAGCCCAAGAAATGCCTCCAGGGATGTTCTATAGAATATTAATGGTAATAGCTACTGTCTGTGTCCGTGGCATTTGCAGTAATTTTGTCACTTTCTCCTGGATGCTTTTTTATTATGTGAATTTTTTTTTTCAGTACTGGGGTTTGAACCCAGGTCCTCACACGTGGCTGAGACTCGCCACGCTCTGCTGTACTCCGCTGTACTCTCTCTGAGGTGAGTCACCTGCTTCACCCATTTTATCTGGAATCTTTCACAGGCAGAAGTGGCAAATCCCTGTGGGAAATCGGTCTTGTCAGCAGGTATGAATAAACCAGGGGGAAAGTACCTTTATCCAGATGCCACTTTCCTCTGGGGTTGGGAAAGTAGGACCCTCTGGGGAATTTTTATTTTGGGTTTCAATCTAAAGGCTTCTAGGAGTTTAGGAACCAGCACGGTTAAGGTTATGAGTCACTGCGGCACGGAGGCCTGTAGCCGGCTGCGCGCGGCACTTTGTATGCGTTGTCTTCAGCTGACCCTCACGTAACCCCGTGATGCAAGAACGCAGGGATGTGAGTGGCTTGGCTAAATTCACAAAGCGGCCAGCTGGGCATGGTGGCACACACCTGTCATCTCAGCACTCAACAAGGCTGAGGCAGGAGGCTCTTGAGCTTGTGCCCAGCCTGGGCAACTGAGTGATTTAACAAGACCCTGTCTCAAAATAAAATTTTTAAAAAGGCCTGGGATATAGCTCAGTGGAAAGGCCTTGGGTTCAACACCCCGTACTGTACTGATAACAAACAGAAAAAAGAAAAAGTCAAATCACACAGTGGCAAACAACAGAGCCTCTGCCTGGCAGGCTCTGGTGCGTGTGACGTTTCCTGCACGCCCCCTGCTTCTCCAGAAATTGCCAGATGGGACCCACAGCCTGCGCAACTTCCTGAGGCCCACAGAGACTGAAGGTGGCGCCACCCCTCAGGCCTGACAATGCCTTGCTCGACCACAAGGGGGCTCCAAGTGCCAGCTTCTGAGGCCAGAATCTTCAGGCCTTTGGGAAGCTGGAGGCCAAGCTCAAGAGAGGTCAGGACCCCATGAGGAACCTCTGAGCCCTGGCTTGCAGATGACCCTCAGGCATGGGGCAAACCCAGGAGGAACCTGGCAGCCTGAAGAGTCAGGGACTTGGGGAGAAGCAGTCACCGGGAGAGGAGTGCCGTTCTGCGACAGTGAAACAGCAGCACACAGCCGTGGGCTGTAGGCAAAGCACCTTGAGCGCCATCATCTTCTTCTTCACAAATCCACACCTCAATCCTACAGGAATCACCACCCCGCCCCACAACCATTTTAGGGCTGTCAAAAGTGCAGCTTGGGATGATCTGCCCAATGGCACACTGCCTGAGCACAGGGCGGCACGGTTGGGTCCAGCTCATTCTGGGCTTGTTTGACAGACAGCCTTTGGCCCCTATGCACTGATGTCCTTGGGGACCCAGGCAGGGAAGGAGGCCCATACCTGCAGCTGCTGCAGCTCGCTCGTGTTGCTCTCGCACTGCGCCAGCATGTCCCGCATCTGGTTCTCGTGTTTCTGCTGCTGGTGGAGCCGCTCTGCCTTCTGCCTCTTCTCCTCCTGCTGGGAGAACTGCAAAGACAGAGGATGGCTGCCTCAGGGGGCCAGGAGCCCGGCTGGCTTGTTGGGGTTCTACCTTATCTTGCCCCAAAGATGCCAACAGAGAGACTGGTCTGTGCACAGCCCCAGTGCCCGGCAGGGCCTCTGGTGTACCCCAACCGTTTTGTGTCTTTTGTTGTGGTGCTGGGGACTGAACACAGGGCCTCCTATGCTAGGCAAGTACTCTGCCACTGAGCTACTGTGCAACTGCTGAAGTCCTCACTCTGAGCTCACACCCATGGCCTGCCCGCAAGGTGTCCCCGGACTGGTGGGGACCTGACACTGTAACAAGTGACATGTGCTAGGACAGGGTGCGCAGGAATCTCAGGGGCCTGGGCCACATACATGACACACAAGCAGGGCTTTGGCGGATGAGAGGAAGGGGTTGACCAGCCGAGGAACCTACGGTGTGGAAGCACTGGTGTGTGAAGCAGACGGTGTGCGACCAAGTCCACCGCACAAAGCCAACCCTCTTCGTGTTCCCCAGGCCTGGATTCACTGCGGGGCTAGTGAAGCAGCTTGCACGACCCTCCCAAGATCTCATGCTGTACAAGGTCCAGGCCGCACCAAGCCTGTTTCTATGCCCGCTCCCACATGCCCCTGGGCACAGGCCCGGCCCCCACCTGCTTGATCTTCTCGCGCTGCTCGGAGGCGCTGCCCGCTCCATTGATGTGCAGGCTCTTCTTGTACATGGCCATGCGTGTCTTGCCCTCGCTCCTCTGAATCTTGGGCAGCCGCGCCTTTTCCTGCTGCTGCCGCACCTTCAGCTGCTCTATCATGCGCTGGTTGTAGCGCTGCATCTGCTCCCGCTCCTGGAGGGCCGGGGGGACACCCAGCCGGGCTGCAGTCAGCTGAGCTCGGCACAGGGTGTGGTCAGAGCCCAGGACCCATATGGCCCGGGGCACTCAGCACAGCCTGGCTTGTGCTAGTTTATTTCTACTGCCATGTAACACTTGCAGCTGCAGTGTTTTAACTCGTGGACCCAGAAAACCACGGTAAGCCAAAGAGCATCTGTTTTGTTAATATTTTAAGTCTTCTAAATCCCATATCAAACAGATGATTGCACACCATTATTAACATCTCAAAGCAAAATATACACCAGAAGGGACAGCTCATCATAATTGATAGTGCTGTAAATTCATATTTTATGAAGTTTTTTCTTTCAGTGCTGAGAGTCAAACCCAGAGCCTCAGGTGTACGAGGCGAGTACTCTACCATTGAGCTGTGTCCCCACCCTCTATGAAAAAGCCTTGATATCCTGGCAGTGAGGGAGGCTGAAGCAGGAGGACTGCAAGTTCAAGTCCTGCTTGGGCAACTTAGCAAGACCCTGTCTCAAAAAAAAAGCTGGAGCACTCCTGGATTTGGTCTCCAGTACCATACACCTACACACGAAAGCCTTGATAAATCTGCAGACAACACTTGTGTGTATTTCCAAACTCTGCAGAGGCAGCTCCTCCCTCAGGGAGCCTCCCGTGACCTCCACGTCAGGCTGAGCACCCTATTCTGAGCTCCCGAAGTCCTACGCTGACTTCTGTCACTGCACTTAGATAAGGAATCGGAGTTCCCTACAGCTGCTGTGTGTGAATCTTCAGCTCACCTGTCACTGTCTCTACTATGGGAACCGAACAGACTGACAATTAGCACACAGGCACGCAGGTGCTCTGGCCATATAGGTCTGGCAGCTCTGGGGAGATTTCTCAGCACAGGTGGAGTTTAAGGGGAGCCCTAAGAGTATTCTGAAGGAATGCCTGGGAGAGAGGAACAAAAAAAACAGGAGAAAAAGGAAAGGAGGGCGAGTGTGGAGAAGGTACGCAATAGGCGGTCAGGGTCAGCGAGGGAGCCTGAGCCTGCCCATCTGCTCCTGTACTGGTTCCCCTGGGTCCCTACAGAACCACCCAGGCCTGCGAGTCGGTACCAAGCGATGCAGGGTCACCGTGGCCTCGCAGCTGGCCAGGTCCTCAGCAGCAGTCCCCACCCCACCTGCGGGAGCCTCACCTTCTCGTGCTTGCGCAGCAGCTCGTGCCGCTGGAGGAAGTACTGGTCTTTGAGCTGCTGCTTCCCCAGCTGGTGCCTCTCCTGCAGCTGGTGCTCCTCCATCTCCCACAGGGCGGCCTCCCGGTCTGCAGAGAGAGGACACGCCACGCGCCTGGTGAGGTGTGACCAGGCCTGAAGACCAGACTCCAGGCCTCTCTCTCAGGTCTCATCCTGCTATGGCTGACAACCAACCTGCGCGTGCTACCTCATTAGACCGCACTGCCCTATCTGAGTCCTAGAGCTCACTCTGAGCCTAAGAGATGCCAGCTCCCAGCCAAGGGGAGAGCAGGGAGCAGTCTGAGATTTGAGATCATTAAGAAAACCTCTTCAGACCTCCGCTACCACCTCTGCCGAATGGGCACTGTTACAACATGGAGGGAAGAAACATCCCTGGGAGGCAGGGGCAAACCGGAAGGGCTCAGATGGAGACCCTGCGAAGGGGACACAGGGTGAGAAATGCACTATCAGGGAGGAAGCAGCCCCTGGGACCAAGTGCCCTAACTTGGCCTTCTCAGCCCCTAGAAGTGGAAAAATACATATCTATTGCTTCCAAACCACCTAGTATATGGTATTTTATTAGAACTTCTGGGCCAGACTAAAGACACTCAACCAAAGAATAGTAATCCTCCAAGACTCGGTTTCCCCACATAGAAAGATTGGGATGATAGGACCCGTCTCATAGGTGTAGGGTGAGAACTTCATGAAATCAAGGTATGAAAACTGACTACACATGGCCTGGCAGAGCAGCCGCTCCACACGTGACAGCCTTCGCATGGGGCTGTCATGCTGTCTCCTCCATCTGATGTCCAAGCTCCCTTATTTACAATTTCCATCCCTGCTGCATCTCTGCTTTTCTCTTGACTTCTGGAATAATGTCAAAGAGTGTGGGTGGGAAGTGGTATCTTTGCGTTGCTCCTGACTTCAGTGGGGGACTGTCTCCAGATTCACCATGAAGGGTCTGTCCAGTCTTCAGGATGGAGGAGCCCCAGTAGGTTTTCCCTCCCCTCCCCACTCCCACTCACAGTGGTCCTAGGCCAAGATGGCCCACCCACTCCGGGCCCCACCTCGAAGGAGCTCTTGCTTCCTGCTGAGGCACTCGCGCTCCTTGTCACAGATCTCTCGCCTGTTTTCTGCAGTGAGCCTCTTCATGGCCAGCTCCAGATCCTCCTTCTGCTTAGCTACGAAGTCCCGGTCCTGTGAGCAGGGAAGAAGATGAAACTTCACCCACAGTTGGCTGTGAGACTATTACAGGACAAAGGTCACCACGACCAGAGAAGAAAATTCAGGTTCAAGCCCCAGCGCCACAAAAAAAAATAAGTAGTTAAAAAAATTAAAAGATCTTTCCATGTTATGATGTAATCATCTGTTAAGTGTGTTCTAATGGCTAAAAATATTTCATGGAGGGATAGACTCTTATTTCCCCAAGAAATAACCCTGCTTGCCTCAGGATTTCCAGAAACAGAAAAGCCAAGCTAAACAATGTGCAATTTTTTTTTTTTTTTCTTTCTTTTTTGGTCTTTTTGAAACAGGGTCTCACTATGCAGTAGGACTTGCAAATTTTTAAGGATCTTGATGTAACTGCCAGATTGGCTTCCTACAGGGCCGTGTAGTCTGCTCTCTCTCCCTGTCTCTCTCCCTCTCCAAAGGGATGAGGGCCTGTCAATCTAACCCTTACCTGGCCCTATGTTTAAAAAATACTTAAAAATTTGACAATTTAAAAAAAAAATTGATAATTATGTGAATATATGAACTACAGTGTGACCTTTCAATACATTTATGACTTGTGTGATGACCTGACCAAGGTAATCAGCACATCCATCACTCAAACACTCATCATTTCTTGGGGGCACAACTTTCAAAATTCTCTAGAAAATCAAATAATAAGAAATGCTGCCAAGGCCGTGATAAAAAAGGAACCTTCACTGCTAGTGGAAGCGTGAACTAGTAAAACCACTATGGAAACCAGTTTGGAGATTCCTCAAACAACTAAAAAGAGAAACTCCACTTGACTCAGCTATTCCCCTTCTAGGCATCTTTCCAAAAGAGCAAAGACATCATATTACAGCGACACATGCATACCAATTTTTTCTTTTTTGAGACAAGGTCTTGCTATGTAGTTCAGGCTGGTCTTGAACTCACTATGTAGCCCTGACTGGCCTCAAACTTGCAGTAATTCTCCTGCCTCAGTCTCCCCAGTGCTAGGATTACAGGTGTGAGCCACCACACTCAGTTACATGCACACTAATTATATAACATCACAACTTTTCCTTTTTTTTCAAGACAGGGTGTTGTTATGTAGTTCAGGCTGGCCCTGAACTCACTATGCCGCTCAGGCTGCGATCTTGCCTCAGCCTCCCAAATGAGGAATTACAGGCATGTGCCACCATGCTGGGCAGCAGCATTCATGCTAGCTAAATCCTAGAATCACCCTGTATTTCCATCAACTGATGAATGGGTAAAGAAAATGCGGTATCTATATATAATGGAATACTACTTGGCTATAAAGAAGGATACATTTCAGTCATATGTAGGAAAACAGATGCAACCTGAAAACAGTGTTACGTGAAATAAATGAGACACACAAGATTAAATACCGTATGGTTTCATACGATAAATCCAAAACATAAAAAGCAAAATAAAGACAGATAAAAGGAAACAGGAAACTAGGTTTTTTGCAGATAGGAAGGGAAGCAGGAGATAGGGCGGCATGGAAAGAACTGGGATGTGCTGTGTACACGTATCAACTATACCCAAGAGAAATGCAGGAAGGGCATCTAGAGATGGGGGGAGGGGAAGGGAATAGAAAGAGTAAGATACATTAAGTACGGGTACCTATTCCCTAACGTGAGTGCAAACACTTACACTGCAAACACAGACTAGTGAGAAATGTAAAAAACTCTTCTAACTACAGTTAAATACATAATTAATATCGATTATAATCACTCACGCTACTGTGCAATAAAACACAAGAATCTATTCCTCCTATCTCACTGTACCCACTGATCAACCTCATCCCGTCTCTTGTTCCCTCCCCTTGGCGCTTTCCAATCCGAGTTAAGGGACAGCGTGGGGAGTGGTCCTAGGAAGAACAGGAAGCCTGGAGTCACACCAGGCTCAAGGCCTCACCCTCACTGAGGGCCCCGCCCTTCCTTTTATCTGTCTTTATTTTGCTTTTTATGCTTTGGATTTATCCTATGAAACCATACAGTATTTAATCTTGTGTGTCTGATTTATTTCACTTAACACTGTTTTCAAGTTGCATGGCCCTAACCTCTCCAGTGTCACCTCTCTGGGCCTTAGTTTCCTCCTCTGCAAATGGGAAAACAAGCAATTCAAATGAAGCCACGAATATGTAACCAGCCCATACACAAAGCGTTTGTAAATGTGGACTAATATTCCCTGCATTTGTGGCCAAGGAAGGAGAACGTGCAGACACCAGAGTAGGAGAAATGGGACTACTGCAGTAAAGGCTGAACAGGAGGCTGCTGCAAGGGGTGGAGCTGGGAGAGGCTGGAAGGAGGGGCAAGGCCCAGTGAGCATGGTGAGGGCAGCTAATCTTCGGACTAGGGGCAGCTACTGCAGGGTGTAAGGCACAGTGCAGGGAAGGGAAGGAAATGTGATGGATTTGCAGTTTGTACTCTTTGCACTCCATGGTGTGACCACAGGAAGTATGCGGGAGCCACGGAGGACGCAGGGAAGCCACTGCAGCGAAGGTCGGGTGTTCAGGTGATGCTGGATAAAAGGCAGGACACATGCACATGCGCGCGTGCACACACAGTTTCAGGAGGTGAGAGATGGAAGGGGATTGGAGGGAAAGGAGCCAGGAAGGACAAGGTCTCTGGCCTAACAACAGGGAGGAAGGTGTGCTCAAAACACAAGGCCAGGCCCAGGTCCAGGAAATGGAGAATTTTTAGACTCCAAAGCACACCAAGCAGCAGGTGGCTGTGCTGGGCTGGTGGAGGAGGTGGGACACACCAACAGCCCTGGCCCAAGCCAGGAGCGCCAAGGACAAGCGCCAGGGCTGGAGACTCACAAGAAGCTGCTTCTTCTGCGCGTGTTCCTCCATCTTCTGTTTCATGCTCTCCTTCCGCTGCTGCCGGGGAAGCTTCTCGACCTCGCTCTTCACCTGCACCAGAGGCACAGAAGGCAGCAGAAGTCAGGACCCTCCTCATGCCAGCCAAACCCACACCACCACACCAGGACTCCAGGGCTGGGGAGATGGAAGGCAAGGCCTTCTCCCTGCTCAGCGAGCCCTGCCCCTCTGGTGGTACCTGCTCACCTGCTCCCACATGCTGTGATCCCACTTTCTAGACTCCTCTGCGCTGGACACGGCTATTTCTGGCTGCTTGGTTTCCATTCCCATTTTGGTACCAGCACAGTTTTTCTCAGTCTTTTACAAAAACTACTGCTCCCCCAGAAGCCCCTTTAGACAGTTTTTTTTCCTAATCATTCTTGATTTACAAAACATTAACCTCACAGATATATGGTTACCATCCAAGATGTCTAATACCAGTATCTGTATCAAAACCTAACATTATTCTGCTTCCACAGGTATCATCCCAGCTGAGAGTGCATAATTTGGCTTTCTCTTTGTGACACACAAACACACACTCAAAAATATACCTAAACCAAACAATGAATTAAGACAAGATACTAAAAGTGTTCAAATACTACAAAAAAAAGTAAGAAAAGGGCAAACAGAACAAAAGCCAGAGAAGACTGAGGAGAAATAATAATGTCATTAAATGTAAATGGCATAAATATTACTGTTAAAAGACAAAGATTTGCAGATTGGATTTTTTAAAAAGCGAAGTCCAACAATATGCTATTAGGTACAGGTAGGGCCAACCTCCTCAACCCCACCTGCTCTAGGCTGGGCACATGATCTGGGCTTGCGGAGCAGCATAGTCCATGCCACAGCTTCAGGCACAGGCCCACAGTATACGTGACCCTTGCAAGAATAGTGAAAGTTTCAGGATATTTGCTGAACAGCTAAGGGAAAGCTGCTCTCTTCCCTGCGGCTGCTAACCTGGAAGATGTAGCCCAAAGGGAGGGCACCCTATCATCCTCTGGATCTGTCAGTTGAGATACTATCAATGCAGTCAAGCAATGCCTTTTTCTTCCTTTCCTACCTTTTGCAATAGCTGTAGACTTGCACAGCAGTACAATAGAAAAGATAGGTAAAACTGTGAGAAATCTTGTGAACCAGCAAATGGGGACTAAGTACACCAGAGGATATGGGACGAATCCCAAAGAGATGCAGGTGAGGGGAAATCTTTATTCTGTGTATGAAGCCACATAACTCTCAGATTCAGCCCTGAGCTGCACATGCAATACAGCCAAGGCTGTATAGTAAAGCTTTTGGTTTTTTTCCAATAGTGAAAGGGATCAAACCTGGGGTGCTCCATTATCTGAGCTATATCCCCAAATCGTTTTATTTTTTATTTTGAGCCTGGAAAGCTTTTGCTAAATTGCACAGGCAGGACTCAAATCTGCAATCCTCCTGCCTCAGCTTCCCTCATTGCTGGATTATAGGCATGTGCCACCACACCCAGCACAGAAGAGGCTTTTGAAAACCAAGATTAGAAATACCACTCATAGAAGGTTCTATCTTCTCTGACCCTAACAAGGTTGGTTGCCTGCTAAAACAAAAAGAATTTTATATGGCTCTAAAGCTTCTTAATTGAAGCCATACAATATAAACTCTAAATAGTTATAACAGATATGTAATAGATATACTATATTATAATAGATATATTAGTATATCATACCTATTGTATAGATATATCTATTATATAGATATTATATAATAGATATGTATAATTCCCTAGAACAACCACTGAAATACACAAGTACACATGCATACACACTGATATATACTTAACCCCAAAAATTCCAATATTCCAAAAAGAGGAAGGTGAACAAAGGAATAAAATCCAGAGAAGATAAACAGAAAACAACTTGTTTACATGCAAATCATAACCACCCTATTAAAGGACAAAGATTTACAGATGAGATTAAAAGGTCACAGTCTAACAATAAGCCGTCAATAAGAAACCTATATAGATAGGCAAGTTAAATTAAAAGGATGATAAAATACATTCTATATAAACTCTAATCAAAAGAAAGCAGGAGCTGGACAAGGTGGTACACACACCTTGGAGGTGTGCACATGGGAGGCTGAGGCAGAAGAATCGTGAGTTTGAAGCCAGCCTGAGGTAAACAGTAAGATCCTGATTCAAAGTAGACTTCCAAACAAAGACTAATCAGGAGTAAAGACACATTGCACAATGACAAAAGGAGAGGTCAGTTTACTGAGATGTTTTTTTTTCCCCCCTTGGTGAGACTGGACCTCGATATATAGCTCCGGTTGGCCTTGGATTCACTGTGTAGCCCAGACTGGCCTCGGACCCATAGTGATCCTCCTGCCTCACCCTCCCAAGTGCTGGGATTACAGGTGTGTGCTACTTGGGCAAAGATGTCATAATTTTAAATAACAATATAACTTCAAAAACATAAAACAGAAACTAATAGTAATTTAAAAATAGATTATGTGTTTGTTTAGTTTTTGTTGTTGTTTAGTTAGTTTTTTGAGACAGAGTCTTGCTACGTAGTTTAGGCTGACCTTAAACTCACTGTGCAGTCCAGGCTTTCATCAAATTTAAAATAATCTGCTTGTCTTGGCTTCTCAAGTGCTGGGATTACAGGCATGTGCCACCATGCCCAGCTCCAATAAATACATAATTATAGCTGGAAACATTAACACTCCTTTTCAGTAGGTGAAGAGAATGAGTGAATGAAAAACTAGTAAGTCTGCTGAAGATCTGAACAATACTCTCAGCTTGACCTGTCTGACATTTCTAGGGCACTCTACCCACAGGGCAGAATAGGTATCCTTTTTAAGTATACACCAGACATTATTAACATAGACCATGAGGTTTGTTAAAACCAACTTTAACAAATTTATAAAAATGGAAATTTGTTTTTGGTTTTTTTCCGGTACCAGGAATCGAACTCATGACCTCACACTTGCCAGGCAGGCACTGTGCCGCTGAGCTAAATCCCCAGCCCCAAAAATGGAAATATTAAAAAATATTTGACCATAATGAAATTAAATTAGAAGTCAAAAACAAAAATATATGAAAGTCCTAAGTATTTTTGAATTAAATAATGAACTTCTAAATAAACCATGAATCAAAGAGAAAGTTTCCAAAGTATGTTCAAAATAATTTGAATTGAATAATAGTGAAAATACAACACATCAAAATTTATAGAATGGGCTGGGGATGAAGATCAACCATACAGTTCTTGCCTAGCATGCATGAGGACCTAGGTTCAATTCCTAGTACCAAAAGAAATAAAATAAAAGCAATTTAAACCCAAGTCAAATATAGAAGCAGAAATCAATATCACTGAAAACAGAAAATCAATAGAGAAAATCAATGAAAAAAAGGGCTGGTTCTTAGAAAGGGTCAATAAAATGAAACCTTTACTCAGCTCAACAGAGAAGGAAGAGTGCAGAGGAAGACAGGAGGAGGATGGGACAGGGAAGAAGACAACACCGTAAATTACCAAAATGATGCATGAAAGAAAGGACATCACTACAGACCTGACAGGTATTAACATGATACTTAAGAAATATTGTGAACATTTTTATGCAATAAACTCAAATACATAAATGAACAAATTCTTTGAAAGATAAACTATCAAAGCTTCCCCAAGAAAAAACAGGTAACTAAAACCAGACAGAAATTACAAGAAAGCCATAGACTCATCCTCTTGAATACAGATTCAAAAATCTTTTCCAGGGCTGGAGCTTTAGCTCAGAAGCAGAGCGAACATTTTGCTTAGCATGCATGAAGTCCTGGGTTCAATTCCCAGTACTAAGGAAAAAAAAAAAGCCTTTCCAAAATATTAGCAAATTGAACATAGCAATATATAAAAAGAAAAATAATAAAAAAAGAAAAAGAAATAATCCTAAATAGGTTTTAGCCCAAGAATGCAAAGCTGGTTCAATATTTGAAAATCAAACAATATAATTCATAATATCTACAGACCAAAGAAGAAAAATCATGTATGTCAACTGATACATGAAAACCATTTAACAAAATTCAACACCCCTTCATGATAAAATCAGGAAACTACGAACAGAAAAAAACTTCTTTAACTTAATAGAGGGTATCTATAAAAAAAAAAAAAAAAAAAAACCTTCCACAAATATTATACTTGAAGAAAAACACTGAATGCTTTCCCCTTAAAGACTGGAAGCAAAGCAGGGATGTCTACTATTTTAACATCATATTGAAAGACCTAGCCAGCACAATAAAGCAATAAAAAGTAATAAGTGTATAAATTGAAAAGGGAGAGATACACTGTTTTCAGACTTTCTACATCGAAATCCCAAGGAATCTACACACACACACACACACACACACACACACACAAATACTATGTGAGTTTAGCTCAGGTTTCAAGATACAAAGTCAACTTATGACTACCAATTTATCTGTATACTCTAGTAAAAAACTAAACTGATGTTTTTTTAAAAAGTACTTTGTATAATACCAATATTATACTTATGTACAAAAAATAACAAGTATAATTCTACAAAAATCTATGACGGTGAGCTAAGAACTAAAAAACACTAAAATAAGATATCAAAAACATACAACACGTTCATGGGTAGGAAGGCAACATTGTTCCAGTGGCCCACAGATGCAACTCAATCCCCATCGGAATCCCAGCAGACATTTTCCTAGACATTAACTAATGCTACGCTTTATATAAAAAGACAAAGGAACCGGAATCACTAAAACAATTTTGAAAAAGAAGAACAAAGTTAAAGGATTCACATTACCTGACTTCAAAGCTTACTATAAACCTACAGTCATCAAAACATTGCAGTATAGGTGAAGGACAGACAAACTGATCACTGAAACAGTGTAGAGTTCAAGAACAGACCCCACCTATATGGTGAAATGATTTTCCACCAAGACACAAAGGCAGTGTAGTGAAGAAGCTTTCCAACAAGCTGTGCTGGAGTAATCGGACATACACAGACAACAGTGAGCCTCACCCCTCTCTCACACCTATCAGATTAACTCAAAATGAATCATACAGCTAAACGTAAAACCTAAAATTGTAAAAACCTCTAAAACACCACATTTCACCTTGGGTTAGGCAAAGACTTTTTAGACATACCACCAAAACATGATCCCTGAAAGAAAAAAATGGTCAACTAGATTTTAGCTAAAGTACTTTTCCTATACGTGAGACACTATTGGAATTGCAAGGTGAGCTACAGACTGAGAACAAATATTGGCAAAAAACATAGCTGACAAAGTACCTGTGTTCCAAAAAAAAACTATCAGAATTCAGTAATAAGAAAACAAACCTCGCAGTTAAATAGGCAGAAGATCTGAATAGATAGTTCATCAAAAATGACATATGGTAGCGAGTAGGCATGCAAATGAAAAGTTACAAGGAGACATCACTTCACACCTGCCAGAATAGCGAAAATAAAGATTGGTGCTGGTGTCGCCCAGTCATAAAGCACTTGCCTAGCATGCAAGGGGCCCTGAGTTCCATCCCCGGCACCACAGAAAATAAGTAAGTCACAGTACTGAGCGTTACTAAGGATATAGGGCAACCAGAACTCTCACATGTTATTAGGGAGATGTAAAACAACTCAGACCTTTACGGAACAGTTTGCCAGTCTCTCATAAAGTTAAACATCTTCTTAACCCTCTGACTCCCAAATCCCACCAGATTTCATCTTTCTTCTTTTCCAAGTTCTGCATTTCGGGGGAGGCATCTTAGATTTATGATCTGAATTCCATTCCTGTGTTGTCTGGCTTTATGGGCCTCCGATCAGGGTCGCTCATCCTTGGCACTCCTGCGTGTGGTGGCTGGAGATCCTCTGTGGTCTTGTCCTCTACCCACTAGATGCCAGTGGACCTCTCCTTCCCAACCCCAACTTGTGACAACCAAAACTGTTTCTAGGTGTTGCCAAATGTCCCCAAGGAGAGGGGTGGAACAAGTTAGTCCCTGGCTGAGAACCCATGTCTTAGATGAAAGTCCTCATAAAATATCTCAAAAATCTTATTTGTGCAGCTGCTGCTTTTGCACCAAAGGGCTGCCTTGGTTCTTGCATCTAACCCTAATTTAGCTGCTGTCTGTGGTGACTGCCAAAATGCCTTCTGACAGTGCTATATGGGGCAAGAGGCCACTAAAGGTCTCACGGCTTAGCACTGTGCATTTATGAGCTTGGTCACTCTGTTCTCCAGGACAGAGGATTAGAAGCAGCAGCTGAGAAAAGTGTTGGGAGTTTTCTGCTAAAGGCCCTGAAAACACTAAACAACATTACTCTGGCAGTGCAGGGAGGAAGCAAAAGCAGTGTCATCTGGGGCCGCTTAGCAAAGGGGCACAAAGACTAGGGACAGCCTGTTCCAGCGCTGCTCTCTGGCTGACATCTGGAAAGGGAGGCAGGGGCAGGGGAACTTGTTCTACTAGATGTCAGATAACCTGCATTCCCGGCCAGCCACATGTTGAACTTGTTAGCTTCCCATTTGCTCACCATGAAAAACAAGCTAGCTTTTAACTCCAACTTCCACAGGCATACAATTCTGCAGTGTTATGGAAGCTCCAAACCGTTTCACACACAGGTCATGCATCGCTCAACAACAGGTATACATTCTGAGAAACATGCCACTAGGTGATGTCATCATTATGTGAACTGTAGGTAGAAAATATGCAGGAAAAACCGTCCTGTGCATGTACAAAGATTTCTCCTGTGGTGATTCCCTAAACAATACCGTGTAACCACTACTTACATAACAGTTACACTGTGCTGAGGATTAGAAGTAATCTAGAGATGATTTAAAGTATACAGGAGGATGTACAAGGGTTACATGCAAACACTACTACATTTTATATAAGGAACTGAGCCTCCTTGAATTTTGGTATCCATGAAAGGGCCTAGAACCAATTCCCCAGAGAATATGTAGGAATAACTATATGTTTAACAAACTGAGTAATAAAAGCCCAACAATTAGCTCTGGGAGCAAGGAAAATACAAGCTTACATTTTGCTTGGCTCCCCTATGAATTTAAAAAAGCATGAGCCAGGCGTGGTGGCACACGCCTATAATCACAGCACTGGGGGCGTGGAGGCTGAGGCAAGAGGATCACTGCGAGTTTGAGGCCAGCCTGGCCTACAAAGTGAGTTCAAGGCCAGCCTGAACTGCATAGTGAAGCCCTGTCTCAAAAAGACAAAACAAACAAAACAACCACACCAAGCAGCTGTTAAATAAATGATTCACAGAGTCAAAGCAAGCAAGGATGCACAGAAGAATAGTAACAGGCACATAATCTTACTAAGGGGCCTGAGCCAGTCCTTTCCCAAAAAGTCAGAAATGCAAAGAAGTCAAGCCTTTTCTCAGGAAAACTTCTGAAAGAAAAACACCCAAGGCGAGGGTGGAGGGTTTGTTAAAAACTGAATCTAGGAGGGCGGGGCTTAGCTCAGTGGCCCAGCGCCTGCCTGGCAAGCCTGAGGCCCAAAGTTTGACCTCCAGCACCACAAAAAACAAACAAGACCTGAGTCTGAGCAGGAACCCAGGTACCAGAGTCCACACAAAGCCCAAGTTCAATGACCAACTAGAATCCCGCTAAGGAGAACGCCCATCTTTGTTAAGGGCAGATTCTGGTCAAGCAAGAGTAGCTTCCCGGGGCCCTGCCCTCTCTGAGGCCCCTTCTCTCTTTCCCTCTCTTATAGTTTCTTCTACACACAGACACACAAAAGGTGTGTGACTACGATGGGGTTGAGACAAGGGGGAGACTGGCTTTTATGGCAGGGCAGATACTGGGTCTCACACTTAAGGACTTCTCACTTACGGCTCGAAACCTCTGTGTGAGGAATGGATGCTCACACCAATTAATCAAACAGCAGGCTCCTTTCTGCTCTGCATGATGTGGCCTCTGTGTAACTGTCCAGCTTCCCCTCCTGCCAATTTCATTTCGTAAGCTCCTGTAACTCTGAGCACTCTGCAGTTCCTCTGAGCACTTCACTCCAAGTTCTCCCCGGTACCACAGGAACTTTGCCCACGCAGCTTCTCCTTCCTGAAATGTTTTCATCTCAACTTAAATGTTTCACTACTGAACTCCATCCTCAGCACTCCCTCTCTTGAAATTTTGTTCTGAGAGGCCTTCCCACAGCACTCTAGAGCACAACTTTCCACATTTGCTCTAGTCAGCAAGTCAACTGACTTTCACAGCATGTTGGCAACTGTTTTATTTATCGGTGCAAGTCCATTTCTGACTCTCCTGCAGATTCCTGCTTCTTTGAGGTAGGCACCCCGTCCGTTTTGTTCACTGCAGCAGCCTGGGACCCAGCACGGTACCAGGCACTCAGTACATGTTACTGAGCCACTCCTTTGACAGAGGGCAGCTGGGAGTTGGGGCAAGGGCTTGACCTCGGTCCGAGTGCTAGAAAGCCTGAGGTCCAACACTGGAAACCAGGCCTGACGCCTACTTCTGCGCTCTCTGTACAGTGGCTGGGCCCATGCTGAGGACCAGCTCCTCTCTTCCACCCCCCACTGTGCCCCAGGCCACTCGCCCACCTCTCTGCAGGCAGAACGGGATCAGCGGAAGCCGGTGCACAAAATTGAAGGGGATGTAAAAAATCAGCCATCAACATAAATAACATTAAAACACGTCTCATGCAAAAAAATCATGAACCAAATGCCTAAATATTATATTAAACCAGAATCCAGCTGTACACTTGGAGGACCCAGCCTCCCAGTTCATCCTAATCCCAGGCCTGTCAAGACCTGTCTTTACCCTAGTAGCTGATATTCTGTTCATGAATTCATTTGTATTCATTACATGAGAGTCTTTTTTTTTGAACTGGTGATTTAATCTAGGGCCTTGTCTATTCTAGAAAAGCATTTTACTGCTAAGCTCCCCACCCCTTTGTTTTATTTTGAGATAAGGCCTCAGTAGTTATCCTTGAACTTGTGTTCAGCCTGCTGAGTAGCTTGGATTACAGGTATGTACCATCATGCCCAGCTTATTTTCTTTAATCTTGATGTGTGTGTGTGTGGGGGGGGGGCACACACACATATTGGGGATCAGACCCCAGGCCTCGCTCTACTAAGCACTCAGCCCTGACTGCTGAGTGCTTTGCATTCCCTTAAATGTTATGCCCGAGCCACGTCTCAGGCCAGCCCTGGCCCTGCGCAGTTGGTCACTGGTCAGGGGCCTTGGCTCCCAAAGGAATCCACCTGCCTAAGGCCCCTGGGCAGCAGCAACTGTCACACCGGTAACGTGCTCTAGGGCTCCAGCACAGTGGCCCAGCCTCAAAGGCTCTCACTGCTCTCAGCTGGACGCCGGGCCACCTACCCTGGAGGCTTCTACCTTCCTGTCTTCCTCCTCCCTCATGAGAGGCCAAGGTAATGTCCCAGCCTCCCAGTCCGGCCGTGGAGGGAGGTGAGGAGGTGTGGGCTGTTCCCTGACACCCAGATGCCCCGCTACGGAGCAGGCTCAGATGTGCCTTGGACATCCACCTCCTCGCCACCTTCCCTTCCCACCACAGGGAGGAGGACGAGAGGCCAGGGCACGGAGGGTGGTGTGCAGGCCCCGGCTATGCCCTCTTCCCTCCCGTAACGGCATCTCCAACTTGGGGCGCCACTCCTCCTCCTTCTTCCTTGCTCTCTTTTCGCACAGAGCCAGCACGGAGGAGGGCAGAGCCCCCAGAGCTGGAGTGGTGCGGTGGGGCACACACATCCAGACTGGCCACCTCCACATCCCCACAGCGCCCCATGTGGCGAGGTGACGCCGGGCTGGGGTTTCCTTCTATCTCTTGCAACAGAGGGGGTCCTAACACTCCTGGAGGTCCCTGCCCAGTCAGCACACAGTCACCTCCTTCTTCATCACTTTGAGCTGCTCTTGGAACTTGGCATAGTCCCGCTCTTGCTCCAGGCGGATCCGCTTGGCCTCCTCCCGGCGCCGCACCGCATGGTCTTGCTCCATCTTCTCGACCTGCTGCTTCTGTTGACGCTCCAGGTTCTCCAGCTCTGTGTCAAAGAATTTCTTCTTGGCCTAGAAGGAGCAACAATTCAGAGAAATTCAGCAGAGGTACTTTCCATCTGGGAAGATAGAGACTAGAGCTTGTCCTGAGACCTGGGACAGGTCACTTCACTTCTCTGCATCTTTATTTCCTCAAATGCAAATGGGAGATCAGACCACTGACCATGACGGTTGGTGCATGGCATGATTTCTTCCTAGAAATGCTCCTCTGTGACTCAGAAGGTCACTGTGACCTCCGTCCTGTGGTTACAGGTCCCTGCCTAATGAGATGAGGAGACCCCAGGAACTGGGCAATGGTTGCAGGTTGCTCTCCACTGTCTCGATCACCCCCGCCTTCCGCAGCAGAAGGAAACAGAGGCAGAAGCCCTCCAAGGTCCCACTGTTTCCCACACTCACATTGATTTCTTGATCAAAACGTTTGTGCATCTGTTCCAACTGCAGCTCGTGCTTGTGGCTCAGCTGGGTCTGATTCCGATGCTCTTCTTTCTGGAGCAACCGAAGCTCTCGGAGTTCCTGGCGCCTGAAGGGTTAAAAGATGAATGGAGTTCATGGGGAGACTGTATCTCCGGGATCACGGTATTCACAGCTTGGGACATTGTGGGCTGAATCATGAAACAGAACTATACAAATAGTTCTTAGGCAGAGGCATGACTGGAGCTCAGGCTTCATTAGGTATTCACTCACAAACAAAACATGAATCACCTCAATATATAAAGAGTACTTATGAATCAGTAAGAAAAGGAAGAATACTCTCCCCACAAAAGCAGCACAGAACATGAACAGACATGAAAGAGAAAAACAAAAAATTTAAGTTATCTATATGGGTAGGAAATGCAAATTTAAAGAAATGACATTTACATGAACTCAACAGGTAAGAGTAGAGAGGAAATTTATACTTTCATATACTACTCATAGGTATAAATCAGTACAATATTTCTGGAGGAAAATTTGGCAATCAGTTTATACTTTCTGACATAGTAGTTCCACTTCTGAATTGACTAGGGATATGTGTAATAATGTTATTTAGATATACCAGTCCCTCCATATCCTGTGGGGATTAGTTCTAGGACTCTCCCCAGATACTAACACGCACAGAAGCCCAAGCCCCTTATATAAAATGGTGTGGTACTGCATATAATCCTGCTCACAGTTCACAATCCTCCTGTATACCTTAATTCATCTCTAGATGATTATAATACCTAAGAACAATCCAAATACCACTGTACTTTTTAGGTAATAATGACAAAAAATTCTGTACATGTTCAGTACAGGTGCATTCCCCCCACTATTTTCAGTCTGTGATTGGATGAATCCACAGATAAGAAACCCAGGGATGCGGCAAGGGGCTGACTGTACTACCAAGTTATAAACAAGTGTCTACCAATATAGGTCTAAATAAATAAACTATATCTACACAATAAAATTACATATAACCACGAAAACATCAAGTTTTAGATAATATATAATTACACGGGAAAACATCTATGAAAAATAAAAAGCTCATTCAAAGAGACACAGAAAGCTCTTTTTTTTTTTTTCCCCAGTACCAGGACTCGAACTCTCGACCTTGCACTTGTCAGGCAGGCACTGTGCCGCTGAGCTAAATCCCCAGCCCCCATAGAAAGATCTCTAAGTGAAGAGAGTAAAATGTTGAGTAGTGTGGTGGTGTCTGCCTGTACTCAGTTACCCAGCAGCCTGAGGCGAGAGGATAGCAAGTGTGAACACAGCCTAGACAACTTAGAGGCTCAAGTATTTTTTTAAAAAGGGGTGGTGGGGGGCCGGGAATATAGCTCAGTGGCACAAGCTCCTTCCTGGCAAGCGTAAGGTCCTTAGTTCTATTCCCGGTACAAAAAAAATTAAAAAGGGCTGGTGATGCAGCTCAGTGTGCAGACCTTGAGTTCAATCTCTAGTACTGCAAAAAACAAAGCTCAAACAAACAAACAAAACAGAGGGAGGGGAACTGTATGACTGGCTACCTGGCAGGAAACAGATTTTTCACTTTCTAAAAAAGGTTTTGAATCATGACATTAAAAAAAATACAGCAAATATTTCACCTAAGCCACAAGGTACACTTCAATTTTGTAACATGCGTGCATGCGGGCTTGAGTGCATATGCGTGTGTGTGTGTGTGTGTGTGCGCGCGCGCGCGCGCACGCGCCAGAGAAAAGATTGGCAAGTAGGCCCAGATATTAATCAACAACGCTTCTTTTTGTGGCCGCCCAGCAAACACTGCTATGCATCGTTTATGGAATAAAATAATAAAATGCTGCAGAGAAACCTTGGGTATCCTGACTGTGAGCAGTGGGCTCGCTGGTGGCCTCTTGGGATTGGGGCGCATGAGGTCTGCACCCTCTTACAGCCTGTCTGCCACAGTCTGTGTCTGGTGATCCTGCATGTGGCTTGGCCCTAGCTGGCCCTGCCCCCAGCTCAGAGGCGCTGAAATGCTCAGGCACCCGCCAGCCAATGGTCCTGTGAGGAGAGGCTCGCAGCGCAGCGTGACCTAGCACATTGTCTAAGCCCAAGGGACCTTGCTTGAATCTCAGCTCTGCAGACTTTCCAGCAGGAGTCCTGTGAGCCTTTGTAGGCCCCGGGTCCCTAGTCTGTAAAATGAAGCAGAAAACCTCTAGGTCTCATGGTCTCTGCATGTTAAATGAGATGCTGCACGGACAGCCCGTAGGTGCGAAGTGCTCCAACAGTGGTGAAGTGCAAGGGGCAACGGCTTCCTGTGTGTGTGGGAAATGCCAGGGAGGCTTCCTACAGTCATGTGAGGAAGCTTCTTTCTGAGGGAAACCAAGAAGGTCAGAGCAATTTTCCAGTGTTAAAGAAATAACAGGAGGCCCTTGACATTCAGTGCATAGCTCCTCATCTGTGAAAATATTGAGGGGGAGGTGTGCCCTGGGCATGCATCACAGGGGACAGGTCAGAGCCACCCACGCTGCTGCACCTGTGGCTGGGGTGCTTGACCCTCAGACCACAGCAGGCGAACGCACCACCTCCTCGCAGCCTCCGCTTCCACACCTGAGTGGCTCACAGAGGCTCTTTTCAGCAGGGTGAGCGTCCACTACCAGGCCAGAGCGCACTGCTTCTCTATGGAGTGCGGCCACCTGGGTGCTCCAATCCAAGGGACCTGAACTGTGATGGAAACCCAGCTGGGGAGTCTGAAGGTTGAAGAGTCCATGGATGTCATCTACGAAGGACCCCCAGCCTCCCCAGCCCACACAGATAAGGGTGTGTGTGTGTGTGTGTGTGTGTGTGTGTGTACATACATGCATGTGCACAGAAATGCCATTAACAGTCTCATTCTACTGGCTCCAAGATGGGAGAAGTACCCCTCAAAAGATCCCAAACTGCTTCTATCGCACTCTAGAATGTTTGTGCTTTTTTAATACATAGGAATGTGTTTGATGAGCTAGGCGTTTTCTCTAAGCCAGTAATGAATTTAGCCTGTAAAGGTCAGGCCTCTGAGGCTTCTCTAACTGCTCACTCTCCCACCTTCAGCAGCAGCTCCCCTGGGAGCTACATGTCCACGGGAAACCTGCAGGAATTCTCAGACACACAGACCTAGGTCGCCTCTCAGCTCTGCCCCTTTCCACCTGGGAGACCCAAGGCACGTTACTCACCTGCTAAGTAGGTTTCCTCATTCGTGAAATCAGCACTTCCCTGTGGCGGGCTGCTAGGGGCACCGAGGAACTGAAAACTTCCAAGGAAGTTTCTGGCAAATAGCGGTGCCTCCCACCTCGTTCCTCAGTCCAACCCTCATCAGCCATGCTGGGTTTGCCTCCAAAGTATCTGTTGCATCTGACCCCCACCTCCCACCACTGTCCTAGCCCGAGCCCAGAGCCTGGCTATCCTGCATAGGGTGGCCTCACCTCCTTGCACCAGTCTTGCTACTTCTCCAGCAGCCTGAGCAATCTTCCAAAGGGATACGTGAGTGGGTCACTCCCCAGCCATTTCCCTCCTGCCGTAGCTGGAATAATGCATCTGTCCACCGTGACTCACTGTGGACAGACCTAAAGACCATACTGCTTCTCCCCTTGACCTGATATTCCACACTCTAGCCCTGTCCTCTCAGATCCTGAAACAAACTGAGGAGTCACACCTCAGGCCTCAGCCACTGCAGCTCCCTCTGTGCTCCCTCAGCTCTGCACACAGCTGGCTTTTCTCTTTTTTTTTTTTGGTGCCAGGAATCAAACTCACGACCTCACGCTTGCCAGGCAGGCGCTTGGGCCACTGAGCTATACCCGCGGCCCAACAGTTGGCTTCTCTCACCCCTTGAGCTCAGCTCAGAGGTTCTCTAGGAGCAGCCTCTCCCCACCCAGGTGCTTTCTATCATATCACCCATTACTTCATGCACTGTGTCACAGTTAAGACTTATCTTGTATCTTGTGTGTTAGCCTATTAGGTGTAAGTTCTACAAGGGTAACAGCCTCATTTATATGGGTTACTACCCTATCCCTACCTAGTGGGTCGGTAGACAGATGATGGGTAGATGGGTGGAGGAGTAAGTAGGTGGATGGACAGATGGGTAGACAGATAATAAATGGGTGAAGAGTTAGATGAATGAACAGATAACAGATGAAAAATGGGTGAACAGATGGATACATGCATGGGTGGATGGATGGAAGCCATGTGTAGATAAATAGGTGATTGGATGGACAGATGGGTGGAGGGATGTAAACAGGAGTAAGTGGATAGATGCATGGGTGGGTGGATGGGTAGATGGATGGCTATGTGGATGGATGGCTGTGTGGACGGATGGATAGGTAGATATATGGGTAGACGGATGGATGAATACATAAGTGAAACAGATCAGTGGCTGGTTAATGGGTTACTGGGTGCATGAAGAGATAAGTGGGTAGGCTGACAGAATGGATGAGCAGATAGATGAATGGATGGGCAGATGGCTGGCTGACTCGGAAAACACAGGATCTTAAGCAAAACTAGTTCCCTTTGTCTCCATTATTTGCCCACTTCATACTGGAGACCAAAAGCTCTCTCACCCAAAGAACCAATGCCCACCCACGTTCGCTGCACCTCCACCCTGTCCCGGCCATTGGTGTCCTTCCCAGACTTGCCTGAGGAATCTCATCTCCTCATCCTTCTTCTCATCTTCACTGATGATCTTGGAGGTGGTGATGCTCACCTCTACGCCATCCACCACAAATTTGCGGGTCCGCTTGAGGGTTTTGTTGTGCAGCCTGGAGTCCTGACCAAGGAAAACACGAGGCAAAGCTTAGCACCTCAGCTAGGACTCCATGGCTGACACAGCCCACAGCCCGCCTGGCCCTACGGCCTTGGTTGTCCACTGTCCCTCTTACCTCAAACTTCGTGACCGGGAACTGAGTGCCAGGGCCCTTCCTGCCCCTGATCTCAGCTTCAGGCACGGCACCCAGGCCCCTTCTCCTCGCTGCCAGCTGTCTCTAAGCACAGGATGATATCAGAAGGCGCTAAGTCTTTTTTTTTTTTTTTGGTTTTTCTCCGGTACTGGGAACTGAACTCACGACCTTGCGCTTGCCAGGCAGGCGCTTTTGCCGCTGAGCTAAATCCCCAGCCCCAGAAGGCACTAAGTCTTAATCCTCACTCTACCACTTGCTGGCTCAGTGGCCCTGGGCAAGTCCCTGCCTAAGCCTCAGCTTCCTCCACGGTCCCAGGAGGATAAAAATAGCCTTTGCCTCCCACAGTGGTTACGAAATTTGATGAAAGACTTTGCAGGGGCACACGGGGCAGGCCCAGCTCATGGTAAAGTTCAATATTTGTTATTTGTCTCTGACAGACCACAGTCCTTGGTCTGAGATGCTCAAATCCAAAGAGGCGCTGAAAACCAGAAGTTGTTTTCGCAATGGAGTTGGCAGCCAACGTGGCCTGGCCTGAACCCTGCTGGCAGCCACACCTGTCGGGAGCTGCACCATTACTCCCCATCTTTATCTTTCACTGTGAATAACTGCGCATTTCACACCCAGTTACTCAGGGTCCTGCCCTGACTCCAGGCGGTGTCATGGTGGTACGGTACAAGGCACCAGACCTTTGGAAGAACATAATATAGCTCTGGTTCCGACAAGGGCTGGGGCCTGCATTGGCTTCCTCCTGACCTCCCTCCTGCCCTTGGCCTCTGACCTCTCTGCTGAGTCCAGATGCCCTTCCTGACACAGCCTAGCCCAGCCTTTGCAACACAGCCCACCGAGGGCCTTCCAGCCCCCGCCAGCTGAGTGAGTGGATCTCAAGTCCTGCTGAGCTCCCTCATGCTGAGCGGGGACCTGAAGGCAGGTCTTGCTCCCTTTGGGCTGGGCCCCTCCCTCCTGCACACTTCCCCCAGCACACTTGGCCTGGTGCTCTCGATGGCAGAGGCAGAGGCAGAGGACCAGCCCGCTCAGTGGTGGCGAATCTATGGCACACGTGCCACAGCAGGCACACAGATCCCTCTCTGTGGGCATGCGAACCAAGTCGCCCCAGCAGCCAAGCATGAGAAAAAAGCTGTTTTTTCTAAACTGAAACCTCAGTATTCAGGTTTAACTGCAGTGTCGGCACTCTGCGATAAGTAAGTGGGCTTTGGATTGCAGTTTGGGCACTCGGCCTCTAAAAGGTTCGCCATCACTGAGCCCACTCAATCCCGATCTCTCAGAAGTGCCGGGCGCACACTAGAGGATTCAAGATGGTCAGGCCAGCAGTGAGAAACGAGGGAAGCAGGAGGGAGGGTACAGGGAAGAGGGAAGTCAAGGCCAAAACCCACGTGTAAAAAGTATTCTTGGTCACAGGGTGCTGGCCAGGCCAGAGGCACTGATGCAGTACGCGGACCTGTACCAGGCCAGCCTGTGTTCCCTAGGTCACAGCAGCCAACCAAGAAGGTTCTCAATACCTCGAGAAGAGGGGGGGAGGCCTGTTATTATTTTTTATCTTTTAGTACCAGGAATTGAACTTAGGACCTCATACTTGCCAGGCAGGTGCTATGCCACTGAGCTATATCCCCAGACCTGGCTTTATTTCTAAAAGAAAAATTTTTCAAGTATCTTTTTAGGATAAGAAAGGACAAGACTCCTGTCCTAAGGAAAACAATGCTTCTACTAAAAGCTGTTGTCCACAGTTGGGGGACTACAGTTTGTAACAACTTACTCTGCATTTTAGAAAGAACTGGAAGAATCTGAAGGCTTCAAACACAGAGACATGATAAGGAGATGGAAACACTAACTACCCAGATTCGATCCACACACACTGAACAGATGCACTGAATCACACACTAGCCCACGGATATGTACGAGCAGGGAAGGCAGCCAATAAATGCTCTTGGGAACCAAACCCAAGCAGCAGCACGTCCTGGAACACCCCTGCTCCAAGCCTGTGGCACGTCAGCAGCATTACCTTGAGGGACAGCGAGCCTGACTCTCTGTTCAGGGACAGGTCGGCGGACAGGGAGGTGCCGTAGTCCATGCTCTCCGAGGTGGACACGCTGCCAGAGTCCGAGGACCTCTTGGACAGGCTTGGCCCCGCCTGGGTGGGGAGCTCCAGGCTGCCATTGACCAGTTTCTCACTGCCCAAGGTCTCCAGGGCGCTGCTGTTGGGCCGACTCTGGCTTGCCTTCTGGGACCTGCTGGCTGCAGGACTAAGGTTCCCAGCCTGGTTAGTGACTTGTTTCTCCTCAGCGACCTGAATTCTGGCATCCATGGACACTGGCCGGGATTTCCGCAGGGGAACAGGCACAGCCAGGCCGTTCTCGCTTGCAGGGGCTCCATCTGGTGGGCGGGGGGCTTGGAGGGCTCCCTCCACAGAAGGCTGGCTGCAGGGCCCATTCACACCGTCCTGAGGCTGGCTGGGTGGCAGTGGCATAGAAGATTCCTGCAGAAGTTTGTTGGCATTGAGGCTCAGCCGATTCGCCTCAGAAGAGTCCTGAGTGTCGTTCCCCAGGGCCTGGAAAAAAAAGAAGAGTTGAGAGCATGCTGTTGTCTACCCAAGGAGACAGTGAGACATGGTGGGGCTGAAAGTCAGACACACCCAGCAATGGCGCCAGGGCTAGGGCAGTAGAAGAGGAAATGCTCAAAAGCACAGACTCCCCACCCCATCGCCTCACTGATAACGTGCAGTGATACACAGTAATACAGGATCTCATGTGAGAGATTACTATTCAGTTTGAGGAATAGCAATCTCCAGACCACCTCTAATCTTAGCTTAAATCAATAGCTCTATTCCTCCTAGGAGCACAGACAAATGCGGTCAGCCAGAGGAACGGCCCGGTGGCTACTCTGCTCCTCCACTTGTGTACTTCTTTTTTTGGTACCGGGAATTGAACTCAGGACCTCATGCTTGCCAGGCAGACACTGTCCACTTGTGACAATGTGGGAAAATGTACTTTCCCTCCTGCCCCGCTGATCAGACCTTCTGATTTCTCAAATATGGAAAAATGGATACATAAATACAATGATGCCCAGCTCAACGAATAAATCAAGTGCCACGCAGCCACTTTCCAGGTAAGCCCTTCCTTCCCAGGGGTAATCTTCTCCCTCCCCCTAATACACTCTGTCTTCACTAGGCCCTCAAGTATCTGCATGTGAGGTGGGCCTGCCTGTTATCAACCGGAGTTCAATGGGATCATATTCCACATTCTTTTGAGTCCTGCCAGCCTCTGTTTTTGCCTTTGGATAGGGTGACTAGCACAGGAAACCCTATCTACTTTCTATTCAATACCGAGGGCAATAGTTAAAAACTGGAAGTCTAATTCTATCACATTTCATTAATACACAGCCCCTGCCTAAAGCCCTTCATGGCTCCCACTGTCCTCATGATGAAGATCAGCTTCATGCCTATGGTGGACAAGGCTGGGCCTGACAGGGTCCTGCCTCCCACTCCTTCTTGCCTCCTCAGCACCCATTCGGCAGCTGCGTCACCAGCACGGGTCCCCTCCTGGAGCTAGATCAGCTGCAGTTCCTCTACTCCCTGCCCACATCTGTCCGCCCAGCCAGGTATCTCCCAGCCCAGACCTCAGCCTTCCCATCTGTAAGGCAGGGGCTTAGGGTTCTGTGGCTGGCTGGTTCCCACTCTGCCTCCTACAGCTTTTCTTCATCCTGGGGCAGGGGGTTCATACCAGCCTCAGGCTCCCTCCCAGGAGCAAATTAAACCTAAGAAAGCTGCACTGTCCCCAGCAAGCAGGGGTGGGCCAGCTCTGCTGACGGGCAAGTCCAAGCCTGCTTCCCCGGGCAAAGGCATGATCAAGATAGCCAGGGCCCCCTGGAAGGAGCTTCCCTACACAGCTCAACCAGGGACCAGGACAGGCTCCGGCCCACAGCTACGTCAGCCTTGGCTCAAATGGTCTTATCAATTTAAATTCACCATTTCTAATTAAATTCAGAAATGCTGAAGCTGCAAATGTGTTACAAATGCATCGAGTCACTGTTCTCCTGACGCTTGGGACAGCCAGATGGGGTCTGTGCGGCCGAAGTCCCTTGGCCAGTTGCCTTTGACTGCCTCATCTATTTATCCCTAAGTGTGCTGAAAACATCCACATGAGCCACATCAGAGAAAAGACAGGGAAGCGATGACTCAGTTACTGACTTTTATAAATGGGGCGGTTTCATGGGAGAACCTGCATTCCTGGTCTCTCCTGAAATTTTCAGGATCAGCCAACACCCCCGTGGCCTCAGCCGGCCCTGTGCGTCCTCTTACACAACCCGCAGTGCAGGCATCCGAACCTCTGAGCTGGGCAGGCGCAGAACGGAATTCTTCCCCAGTCTTGGCTCTGTGAGCCATGGCCTGTGGATCCCGGCCCTCCTTGGCCCCCGCGCTTCCTGCACTTACAGAGGTGGCGTCCACAGCGTCCTCCTCTTCCCCCTCGTCCCTGCCGTCTTCAATCTCCTCCATCACCTCGGCCTTGGCCTCAGCCACCAGCTCCCGCAGAGCCTTGTTACTGGTGACGCGGCTGACGAAGGGGTGCTGAGGAGGCAAACACATCTGTGTGAGAACAGCTGGCATGGGGGAGCGCAGCTGGGGAGCTGGTCCTCAGGGAAGAGGAAGCCAGACGCAGCCCCGCAGGACGCGTGAACGTGAACTCGATGTGGGAAACCCGGAGGCAGCTCAGAAATCCTGCATGTGGTGAAAAGTGGGAAAATCCCAGCTCTTCCGCTCACCAGCTGTGTGACCCTAAGCAGGTCACTTAACCCCTGCGACCTTGAAGTGAGAACAGTGATGCCGATGCCACACCGGGGTCACCAAAATGAAATGAGAGAATGCACACAACAGCTCTGATGTCAAAGCGGGAGCTCAAGCAATGCTCAAAATGCTTGATTTGCATATTTGTTTACTTTCCTTTTAAAAGGTTTCGATGTACAGCTTTATAAATACACCACATATATATATTTTATTGAGTTGTAATTTACATACAGTAAAGCTCATGCATTATTAAGATTGATAACTTTATATTTATCCAACACTCAGGTAAAGATATAGAACATTTCAGACAGGCCTGGTGGTGCACAGCTGTAATCCCAGTACTGAGGGAGGCTGAAGCAGGCGGAGTGCAAGTTTGAGCCCAGCCTGAGTACTTAGCAAGATCTTGTCTCAAAATAACAAACAGGGCTGGAGATGTAGCTCAGTGCAAAGGTTCAATCCCCAGTATTACCAAGAAAAGATGTGGAACATTTCCATCACGCTGGAAAGCTCCCTGGCCTCGGCTTGCAGGCACCCCCTCCCTGGCTGTCTCCAACCTTCACTTCCTGCGCACAGGGTCACCATGCATGGAAGTCTTTAGTACCGGCTTTCTTGCTCAATGTCACGCCTGTGACATCGTCAGGTGCTTTGGTGTGTGTGTGTGTGTGTGTGTGTGTGTGTGTGTGTGTGTGTGTGTGTGTGTATGTGTGTATGGGATCGAACCCAGGGCCTCACGCACACCAAGGAGGAAATCATATGCTCTACCACTGAGCTCTGTCCCCAGCCCTGCTGTTCCTTTCTTACGCTGCTTGAACATGTCACAGTCTGTTTATTCGCTGGTGGACTCATGGGTCATTTCCTGTCTTTGACGACCACGACTGATACTACTACAAACAGTGGTGTACATGAGGTCACTTTCAGGTGGACACACGTGCTTGGTGTTAACAAAAGAAACGCAAATTCTTGAGGCAGATTGGTATACATTCCACTCAACATTCACAGAAACGGCACAGTTTAAAAAAGTTAATGCAAAGGTTTAGGGATGTTCGATCCGCACAAGGCATCCCAGTGGGTAGAAGCCGCTCCTTAGGTGCCTTTGCCCAGCCCCAGGGTGCGGCTGGGATACGCAATTCCTCATCCACGGCTCACCCGGCCACAGGAAAGTAATGGCCAGCAAGAGATGGGGGAGTCATGAAGTTGCAGTTTGCTCATTTGAAATTTTATAAGAAGGCGCTGTTGAAATTTACTGCTTCACTATCAGAAATTTTATCAGCAGAGCAGTGTCAACAAGACTTCTGGGGAAGTGCGTATGATGAAAGGATAGATCTCTCTTGCTTTAAAAACATTCAGAACTGGTACGTTCACCATAAATCATTCTTATCTGCTTGTTCACTTAAAACTGTTGGGCCTGGGAATGCAGCTCTGTGTAGAGCCCTTGCCCAGGCACAAGGCCCTGGGTTCCATCCCTGGCACCACAAAAATAAAAGAATAGGGGCTGGGGATTTAGCTCAGTGGCAAAAGCGCCTGCCTAGCAAGCGCAAGGTCGTGAGTTCGGTTCCCGGTACCGGAGAAAAATAAAAAAATAAAAAATAAATAAAAGAATAAACTAAAGTTCGTTTGCCAAAGGCAGCAGCCTCTCCAATCTGCTCACCTGAGAGCTGTAAATGGCACTGCGCCTCACGAGCCCTGCCTTTCATCTCCTCCTAAGCCAGTCTGGTTTGCTCTAGTTCTTCCCCTCTACTGAGAACTTCATGAATTTACCTGCTTGCTGTCTCACTTGCCCATTTATTTGCTGCTCCATTCCATAGCCACAGAGTGAGGGTGGCGAGGTGACACACGCCCGGTGCTGAGATAAGCCTGTGAGTGAATGCACAGCAGAAGGCCCGGATTCAGACGGTCCACACGACCATGGCGCAGGTCATGTGAGCCTGTGCTGGTACCGGGTGCCTCCCTAAGGAGGCTTCAGCAAGCTCAGACCCAAGGTGTGCGCAGGGACAAGCCAAGGAGTCGCCTCCACACAGACAGTTCCAGGCAGCATGAACAGCACAAGCAAAGGCCCTGGGGTAGGACTGGGCTCAGTGTGCTGTGAGGCCAGGGTTGGGGAGCAGGCAGGACAGGAGGAAGGGAGAGGGTGGGCGGTACCTGCAGGGCCCCAGTGCCCCATGAGCGCCTCAGACTTGATTCTCAGAAGCCACTGTTAGCCACTAAATATGTCACTCTGGCTGTTGAGTGGTTTCAAGAGGTCTTGAGTGGGTGTTGTAAGGACTTACTAATCATGGGTGGCAGAGCCAGGGCACTGAGGGTCAAATCCAGCCTCCAGCACTAACTGGGGAAGTCATGAAACCTCCCCGAGCCTCAGCTTGCTCATCTGTACAGTAAGAATACAGGTATGGCTATTCTACGCACCAGCCACGCTCAGAATAGGGCAGCTGCCACGTGATCACCACTGCCATGCTCACCACCACCATCAGCACACTGTCACTGGCACCATCACTGCTATCATCACCACTCCCGTCCTTCACCAGGTGCTGCCCCCACCCTCTTCCCCAGCACCTCCAGCAGCAGAAGCAGCAGCCAACCCAGGAGGCCCCTTTTGGGCTCCTGGCCACTCCTCTACCCAGAAAGCACAGCTTTTTTGGGAGCAAGGCTGAGACCCAGATGCCAGTGGTTCCTGAGCTCCAGGCTACGTGACCCCACACGTGACTGAGCGAGATGCCAAGGGGCGGACACCTCGCTGCAGCAGCTGAAGTGGACATGGCAGAAATAAACAACACAGTGCAGGCTCCAGGAAATACTAAATCTGCACCAGGGCGCTCCGCAGACGGAATGAATCAGTGGCTGCTCGCCGTGGCCAGGAGCCTCGCTTCTGCAGGTGGAAGCACAGCTCACTGTGTGTCTCGAGCACCACGGTCCCTGGGAAGGGGCAAGCCGCAGGGGAAATGGCCATGGAGGGCCCAGCACGCAGGGTGCTCCTGGGACAGCAGCGCAGGACACATGTCTAGGACACACAGCACCCATGGCCAGGGCTCTGCACTGCACTGCATTGGCTGTGCTGCCCCCAGGGAGCGTCCAGGGAAGCCTCTCCCTCCAGCCCCCGCGTCACCAAGGCTCCTTACAGAGAAAGTGTCCGGGCAATGCCCAAGGGAAGGTGGGAACCTTCCAGATGGTCCACCGGCCACCCCTTCAGAAGGAGGGTGAAGAAAGGGGGTGTTCAGGGCTCTCGCTGCTGGAGGCCCCAACATGCCAAGACAAGGATGGCACCACATGGCTGGCCAACTGGCCTGGCCCTCGGGCCAGCTCCGCTCCTTCCATCTAAACACACACCCTTTTAAAGAATTTGAGCCGATTTTCAGTTCTCCCTGTGTGCTTAGAAATCACCAGCCAGAGGCCTTAACACTCAGGACTGGCTTTAGAAAACGCCTCCTGGGGTTTCAGGCGCCAGCACCTTCAGTCCTCCCTCCTGCCCCGTGCTCTCCCCCACCACTCTTTTCTCTGTGATTCTGTTTCCCCTTCATTCACGTGGAGAGGCGGCATACCAGAGCAGGCAACACACAGACTCTGGAACCAAACCACCAGGATCAGAACGCTAGCCCTGTCTTTGGGGGAGGTCTTGGAGGAAGAGCTTTCAAAGCTCTCTGAGCAGAGTGCAGTGCAAAGGCCCTGCAGCAGGAGTGAGCCTTGTGCACTTGGAGAACAAGATGGCCAGGTGGCCGCAGTGAGTGAGGGGAGAGAGGTCAACAGGGTGGGCAGATCACACAGGGTCTCACGGGTCACAGAGCTCCACCTTGGACTGAGTGGGATGGGAGCCACTCGGGAGCTCGGATGGGGAAGGACATGAGCTGCACGTTCCCTCGCTTTCCTGTGCCGGCTAAGTAAGAACAGATGGAGGGACGGCAGAGAGGCGAGGGAGGAAGCCACCCTGCGGGTGGGACACGACGGCGGCTCAGTGGTGGCGGTCACGGAGGGGGCGCGTGGGCAGATTTCAGACGCGTCCTGAGGGCCGGGCAGCGGTGTTCCTGCCCAAGTGGCCGTGAAGGAGGAGAGAGCGAGCAAGGAGGCCTGCCGGGCTTGGGGCCTGAGCTGGCAGCGGAGTGAAGCTACTGCGGACCGAAGGGTCCAGGGCTCGCTGTCACCATCAGTGTGAGACACCCACCGGACACCCAGGGGGAGACAGAGATAAACACCTCCAGCCCTGGAGGACGGGGAGAAGCCCGGGCCGAAGGTCACTGCAGACAGGACGAGATGGGCCAGGTGAGTGGTGACAGAGGAGAGACGTCCACATTCGTCAGCTGTGGTGAGGAGGAGCAAGACAAGGAGACTAGAGACAGAAGGAAAGCTGACGCGCCTGGGGCCTGGGGGTCAAGTGCAGACCGAGGCAAGGAAGGACACTGGGCTGCGGCCGACGCTGCCGGTGGCTGGGGGAGACGAGCACCCAGGCCTGAGCTGACTGTAGTGTCCAGCAGCACAGATATCACCAGTGACTGCTGTGTGAAGCAAGTGCTAGTCACCTTGAGAGATGAGGCAACCAACGCAGAGACCTACCCAGATTCCAGGGTGGGTGTGCCTGATTTCAGAGCCGGGGTTACTAACTACGGCAGGATACTCTTCCAAAGAGTATCTGTGCCAGTGAATGAACGAACCACAAGCCCCTGGGGGCATGAGTCACCCAGCCCATGGAGGTGCTGGGGACAGACCAGGGGGTGCGGCACCTCCCGGAAGCAGGCAGGCCAAAGCTGGGGCACGGACAGCCGGAGAGCAGGTGCTGGGCAGCTGTGTCTGCACCGACCTCTGGCACTCAAAGCCAAGTGACCTTGGGCAAGTCACTTCCGCGCTCCAAGCCTTGGCCCCGTCATCTCCCCACGGTAAGACTGTCCCTATCCTCCCATCTCGGAAACAGCAAGGCACATGGAAAAGCCGGGAGGCGGCACCAGCTCTGAAGGGGTCTCTTTGTTCTGAGACAGCACTACTTTCCTCTGCAACCCGTCCGCAGTCTGCTAGGAGTCCCCTGGCAGGACATCTTATCCAACTATGGAGCGGAAATTCCTGGCTCGGCCTGAGGCTCTGGGGCTGCCGAGTGGGCTGAGGACAGCTGCTCTCTGCCCTGCGGAATGTCCTGTGAGCCGGATGCATCGGGGCAGGAGGAGCCAGCTCGCAGGAAACATTTGGGCCCGAGTGGCTTGGAGCTTTGGCATCTGACAGTGACGGCGGCCTCCCCACCCCCAGCAAACACTGCAATACCCAGAAAATGAGGCCGTCTGGAACTCTAGATATTTGCTTTTAAGCAGACTGCAGAAACTTAAAAGGAGCAATCAAGACCTTCTAATAAATAGATCCCAGCCTGCATTCTGGAGCCTTTTCATTTCTAAACAATAAATTCACTCTATCAAACATTCCTTCTGCACAGTACTTAACCGTTAATCCCAGTGCTTGACAGTATCTTCTCATTTAATCCTCATGACCCCTCTGTGAGGGGGGCCATTGTTATTAATCCAAGCTCCAGAGCAGGAACCAAGGCACAGAGTGGTTAAGCCACCAGCCCAGGATTTCACAGCCAGTAAGAGACGGGACCAGGATTTGAACCCAGGACTTTCCAATCCCAGTACATACTTGTAATCACTAAGATGTCCATAGCCAGAAGGATGCAGTCTAAGCCCAAATATCAACCAACTTCAGGCCCAGTGCCTGGCACACAGTAGGTAGCTGGGGGAAGCTGGTGTATTTAGGAAACGACTTTCATCGGGTCAGCAGAGCAGGCAGGCAGCGGAGGCGGCGGCCCCTCTGTGTAACCTAGGCCTACTTCCCATCTTCCATCAGCAGTGGTGGCATGGGGACAGTGCCTGACAGAGGGGGAGGGCAGCTGGGCGGTGGTGTGAACGCTCTGGCACTCATCCCAGCAGCTGCAGCCCCGGCCCGGGGAAGGAAGGCTCACAACTGTATTTAAAAGATTCAAGGACACAGCCCTCTTCCCTACACTAAGGCTGTGTGGCCAGCTCATGTGCCATTAACGTGACACTCAGGTCCCACACACAGCACCCACTGGTTCCCATATGAAGTTGGACACTGTCTCCCCTTTCGCATAAGCCCAAGGCGCATGTAACCCCACACGACCCCGGGTGCATGTCCCTCCGAGACCAGGTCATGGGGCTGACCCAGCTGCCAGGCAGGTGGGTGCGGAGGGTGAGGAAGGCGGCAGGCGCCCAGGTCACGGATGCGCTCACCTGCCTGCCCCAGAAAAGGGGCGCACTCACCTCCAGCAGCTGTGCAGCACTGGGGCGCGTGTCCGGGTTCTTATCCAGGGCGACCTTCAGGAAGTCTCGGAAGTCCTCTGACCTGAGAGCACAGGCATCGGCAGTGGGCTCAGGGCGGGAGAGGTGAGACAGTGCCCGCCCGCCCCCCGGCACAGACTCCCTATGAATGACCCCCTCTAAAGACAGAGAAAGCCTTCATGAGCTAAAATGGTGGGGGAGGCAGGGCCTGTGCCATGCTCCTCTCCTCCTGGAAATCACTGTCCAGAGGGCTGACTTGGGAATCCCAGAAGAGCAGGGACTTGCTGGGGCATCCAGCAAAGACAGCAGCCCAAGCTTCCTTTTCCCAACTCCGGGGGCTTCGGGATCAGCTTGGTCAGCTCCCATGCCCACAGCTCGGACAGAGAAGCAGGGAGCTCTGAAAGGCCCGGAGCCCGAACACTACCTCCCTCAGCGCCCCAGCCCCGGGGCAGGTCCCCTCGCGCCTCACCACTTGGAGGGGGCGAGCAGCGTGGGAGGATCCGACTTGGCGATCTTGAGTAGGACCCGCATGGGGTTGAGCTCATGGTGCGGGGGCTCGATCTGCGCCATCTCAATCAACGTGATGCCCAGGGACCAGATGTCCGCTTTGTAGTCATATGGTGTGTCCTTCATGGTCTCGCAGAGCACCACCTCGGGGGCCATCCTGAACCAACCAAGGGACAACGGGGAGCTGAGCACCTGGCCTCCACAGGCACTTCGCAAAGATGCAGGGTCAAGGACCACCACCAGCCCGTGTCAGGGGTCGGCAGCGCTCCCCAACCGTGATTTGGATTACGTGACATCCCACTGTCTTCCTTAGACCTTCTTTCTTCACCTTTACTGAGGCGCCGCCATGCCTGCTGCAGTTCCCAAGGCCTACCACCAGGTGGCGGCAGCGATTCAGAACACAGAGTCCTGGGGAAGGGCGGGCGGGAGCCGGAGGGAAAGGTGCAGCAGAAGGGGTGGGGGGACTACAACAGCACAGAGAGAAGGGGGACGGGAGAGAAAGGAGCAAGCGGAATAAAAGGGGAGAGAGAGATGGTTAAGAGAAATAAGCAAGAAGAGCTAAACACATGGCAATCTGTGAAAATACCACACAACGGAGAGCAATTAGGCGTGAAATTGAGTGAGAGTTTTGTTTCTTTTAAAGTCATCGTTTTAGTAAGGAAGGAAACACAGGAGAGGGAGGTTCCAGGGAGGCTTGGGGAGGGTGAGAGCTGAGCTGACCTCCCCTTCCGCCCTCACCCCGCCCGTGCCTGGCGCTCGGAGCCTGCGAGGGAAGAGAACGGCCCTGACCGTCTCCCAGACTGCTTCGTTCCTGGTGCAGCGCCGGCCGCGTGCGTCCCGCTGCCTCGCAGGACCCTGTGTCTCAGGCACCCTCATATTCCTCCCTTACAGAGGTGGAAACCGAGGCAGAGGGAAGCCACGCCCCACGCCCCGTGTCACAGCACTCCTAAGTGCCCGCGGGCTCAGCCGGGGGTAGGGGTCCTCTACTGCGGGCCTCGCTGCCCTTGAACCACTTCGAGGTTTTAGGTTTGAGGCTCAGCCCACCACTCAATTCAATTCCAAAAGCCGTGCAACTCACCAGTAAGGCGTTCCTATAAAGGAATCTCGTTTCTGCAGAGTTTTCAGATTCTTGGCAGACACACCAAAATCAGCTGCAAGACAAAATCTCCGATGAAATATCCGAGGGACATTCCTCCGCCCCTGGGCCCCGGGTTACAAGTCTGTGATGTGGACTTGGGGATATGCATTCTATACTGATAGATATTATTTTCTATCCAGCAAACTGCTGCTGTAAAAACAGACTCTGAGCCGGGTGTGGCGGCGCGTGGCTGTCATGCCAGCGCTCGGGGGGCTGAGGCAAAAGGATCACTGCAGAACCAATTTGTAGGGCTGACCAGAGGACGAAATGACACCCGTGAGCAGCGAGGGTCCCTGGTGAGCTCGCCGCACACGCGTAGGAGGGATGAACGCTGCAGGGGCCGAGCCAGGCCAGGGCAGGCTGGGCTCAACTGCAGCCCCCTAAGAGAGGCCAGAAGCTGGTCTCCACCTCAGCCCCCGCAGTGCCACCTGGACAGCACCGCTCTGTGGGAGGACGGTCAGGTAGGGGGGACACGGGAGTCCTGTCACCTCCCAGGTGGGAACCAGCTGCAGGTGAGGTGGCCGCAGGCAAAGAGCAGCTCTGCTGCAGACTGGTGGGGGCACTCCTGGCCTTTCCGGGCAGGAACGGGGGCCAGGCTCATCCCTTCCTACCCATCAGCCTGGGCCCACAGGAACCTGATCCCCTGCGAGTCCCAACTGTCACCAGTTGAGGTCCCAGACCAGGAAATCCCTTGGGAGCAGCAACGGCCTCTCAGACCTGGGGGGTCCAGAAGCCCACCACCCCCACCAGCGCAGCGCTCGCAGTTCCTTCCAGAGAAGGGAGAAGAGAAAGAGAAAGCAGCAAATTTCACAACACACAGTCGGGCCAGCGCCCTCCCGGAAACAAGTGCCAGCCACTTCCTGGGTAGCTGCTACTTCCCCTGCGGCTCCAGAGATGGGCCCAGCGTGGAGGGTGAGGGTGAGGGTGGGGCGCCCCTCTTTGCAGCCCAGCCACCTCGGGCTTTCCCTGAGCAGCTGTGGGGGCGGCCCCGAGCCCTGTGCACCAGGAATGGAGTTTATGGGGCCTGTCTCCCCTGAAAGGTAGATGGCTGCCCTGGGCCACTCCAAAGGAGTTTCTACCGGGCTGGCTCTTCCTATGAAAATGCATCTCCGTCTCATCCTCCAAACTGAAAGCACAGCACAGGGCGGGCCGCAGGGACTAGGGGACTTCCCTTTATGGACTAATGGGCTTAAAGAAAGAAATAATTTCTGCTTCACACACAGCTGTATGCCTGGCACCACACTGCAGCACGAAGCTCTCACATTTGTCAAAGAAAAATTCACACAGATACAAGTAAACGAACACACAGCCAGTGTCGGAATCCTTTCACTCACACAGTGGCCCTGCATTCACAGTTTCAGCTACCTGCAGTCAACTGCAGTCTGAAAATATCATGTGGAAAATTCTAGAAATAAACAATTCATAAATTTTAAAGAACTTTTCTTAACGTATACTGTCATGATTGTCCTATCATTGTTGCTGATCTTTTACTATGCCTAATTTTTTTTTTTTCTTTTAAGACAGGTCTCGTTTTGTAGTTCAGGTTAGCCTGCCTCGAACTCGCAGCAATCCTCCTGCCTCAGCCTCCAATGTGCTGGGGTTATAGGTGTGCACCACCACACTTGGCAACTATGCCTAATTTATAAATTAAAGTTTATTATAGGTGTATTTGGATAGGAAAAAGCATAGTATATATAGGGTTTGGTACTATGCATGGTGTCAGATATTCCCTGGGGGTCTTGGAATGCATCCCCCACTGTATGTTTTTTTATAAACTGGATTTTTAAAACTATGTTTGACATATGGCTAGAAGTTATGGCTCTTCTCAGCTATGAAATTATAAAATAACATGCAGCCCTGAAAGAATAAGACTACAAGTCAGATGTGGTGGCACACACCTGTAATCTCAGCACTCGGGAGGTGGAGGTAGGAGGACCGCCTTAGGTTCGAGACCATCCTGGACTATGTAGGGAGTTTGAGGCCAGCATAAACTACCTAGGGAGACCTTGTCTCAAAAAAACACAAACAAACAAACAAACAAGAATGAAGCTGCATTTGAAACTGGTTCTTATTTGCTTGTTTGTTTTTGTGGTGCTGGGATGAGACTGCCTTGGGACACAGTAACTTAGAAGTCTGTGACACACTGTCTTGTCTCAAACATACCACAGAATGTACAGCGGAGGGGGCTGGGGATTTAGCTCAGTGGCACAGTGCCTGCCTGGCAAGGGCGAGGTTGTGAGTTCAATTCCCAGTACCGGGGGGAAAAAAACAAAAACAAAAACAAACAAACAAACAAAAAACCACAAAAGAATGTACAGCGGAACGTACTGTGAGGACCCAGGAGAAGAACCGTATCTGTGTAATGTGAGGACCAGCAGCGCATGTGCACACACACACACATATATACACACACCCCGGGGTCAGCTCCCCAGAAGTGGGACCTCAGTGGGTACAGTGCACACAGCATGCTTAGCTTTTTCACTTTATTACTTTTATCCTCTAGAACGTTTTTTTGATAGAGTGGATTCTCTCCACGGGATGGAAAAACAGAAATGCACTTAGCAACTTAAATTTGCTTCTGTGGGTTTTTGTTTTTCTCTCTCAAAGTCAAACCCAGGATGTGGTGAGGGAGAACTTCGCATTCTGCAGGGGGTGGTGTGACCGGGGACGACCACCGGGAAGGACAGGGCCGCAGGTGTGGACCCGCAGCGTGCACCCAGCATCCTGCCTCGGAGACCCTCCCGGGCTGGATAACAAGAGACACGGATCTGTGAGCAGGCACGGGCACACCATAGTACTGATGGGAAAGTAACAGGAGGAACCTGAGTGTGCAGTGCAGGGCGAGCACAGGTAAACTGGGTCTTATGCACGTGTGGAACACACAAAAAAGCACTAAAAGAATCATGTTTGAGGGGCACTTAAGGATATGAGGGGAACAACTGACGTTATTCAGTTTCTAAAAGCAGACTAGAAAATAAGCAAAACAATTCAGCACAGCAAGACAAATCCCACAGGTTCTTATTTATATGTGGAAGCCAAAAAAGTTGATCCTGACAGAAGAATAGTGCTTACCAGAGCCTGGGAAGGCAGCTGGCGAGGGAGGAGAAAGAGGCTGGTTACGGGACAGAGGATTCTGATGTCCCAGTGTAGTGCAGCAGGGTAACTGGTTGACAGCAACTAACGGTGTATTTCAAAATAGCTCGCAGAGAGGATCTGTGTACGTTCCTCAAAGACATGGTCAGTACCCAAGAGGAAGAATAGCCAGTTACCCTGATCTGGCTATTATACACTGCATGCATTATGGAACTGTCACACTGTGCCCCATGAACGTGTACAACTACTATGTGTTGATTAAAAATAAAACATAGCTCAGTGATACAGTGCTTGCCTAGGGTGCATGAGGCCCTAGGTTCTATCCCCAACATGGCAAAGAACTAAATGTATTTTTTAAAAGTCAGACTGCAGGCTGGGATGTAGTTCACTGGAAAGATGTGTACTTAGAGCATGCAGTGAGTTTGATACCCAGCACTATGAAAATAAAAAAATTAAAGTTAAAAAGGCAGGGTTGGGGATACAGCTCAGTGGCACAGTGCCTGCCTGGCAAGCATGAGGTGGTCAGTTCAATTCCTGGTACCAAAAAAAAATTTAAAAAGCAGATCAGAAAACTGTATACATACTTTGATCCCAATATTTTTAAAAGTATACATTAATCTTATAAAAACTAATATTTATTGAGAATTTATCAAGTGCACGGCACTGCCCAGATTCATGTATACCATCTGCATATCATCTACATAGCTATTCCTACATGTATCATTTCTAGCTATGACATTTTAGGACAGGGAAATTTATTATCCTTTTTTTTTTTTTTTTTTTTTTTAAGTACTGAAGATTGAATCCAGGGTCTCATGCATGCTATAAAAGGCCTCTACCACTAAGCTATACAAACTCATCCCTTTTTATTTTATTTTGAATAAGGGTCTCATTAAGTTGGCCAGGCTGACCTGGAACTTGGAATCCTCCTGCCTCAGCCTCTCCTGGGTATCTGGGATCATAAGCATGTACCACTTTGCTCTTCCCACTCCCTGCCCTACAGCTTTCCATGCACAGAGAAAAGACTGGAGGCTGCCTATGGTGACAGTGGTACACTGGGGCAGCTTAGAAAAGACCTGAATTCTCCTCTTTGCACGTGTTCCCATCCCAAATTCCCTATAGGACCATCTATCTATCTATCCATCCATCCATCCATTAATTTATGTGTGTGTGTTTGTCTGATTATCAATACCAAAGCAGTGACTTATTAAAAAAAAAAAAAATCAACATTTACAGAATTTTGGTTTTTTTTTTTTAAATTTTGTTTGTTTGTTTGTTTTGAGACAGGGTCTCACTCGGTAGTCCAGGCTGGCCTCAAACTCAAGGCAATCCTCCTGCCTCAGCCTCCTGAGTGCTGGGATTACAGGCATGTGCCACCATGCCCAGCCCAACATTTACACACTGAAAAGTTCCTATAATCTCGACAGAGATAAAATATTTAAGACTACAGAGCTCCAAGGTGGGCCTGGTGGCGCACACCTGTAATCCTAGCACACAGGAGGCTAAGGCAGGAGAATCATCGAGTTCCAGACCAGTCTGGGCCACAAAGTGAGCTCAAGGCCAGCCTGAACTGTATCAAGACCTTGTCTCAAAAAGATAAAAAAAAAAAAAAAAAAAAAAGGACTATATAGCTCCAGTGTATTTACTGAAATAAAAAGCATGTGTAAACTGTGGGTAAACACAGCTGTAATCCCAGCACTCTGGGAGGCTGAAGCAAGAGGATTGCAAGTTTAAACCCAGCCTAGGCAACTTATTGACTTAAGTGAGACGCGTGTTTTAAAAAGATAATGTAAATAAAAATATACAAATCATTTTTATGTAAAACTGTTCCTCAGTATCCACATAAGATTAGTTGCAGGGCCACCCCCTCCCCCAACCTGCAGTTGCTAAGTCCTTGGATAAAATAGGGTCTGTAGTATT